CGCTGTGCGCGGCGGCGAAGAATTCGTTCAGGTCTCCCCACTCTTTCAGGCGCAGCAGCAAAGCTCGAGTGCCAGCGGGGGGTAAGCGCACACGCTTCCTGACAGACAGAATGACGTGAAGGTATCGCAAAGTTAGATAAAACTTGCAGGGAACACCAGAGAGGAAAAGAACTCGTCATGAATTGCACAATATATGCCTTTTTCAGGCCATTTCCCCTTGTTTAAACTTACAAGGGTTCGGAACCAAGCCGCAAAGTTCACTGCGCATCACCGCAAACGCAAGATATGGAACATCCGAATGAAGCTCTGAGAAAAGATCATGGCTGGCTTGCTTCAGGATGAGATAACATCCGCAAGCCGATGTTTCTTCACCGCTCAGGAGGTAGCTGACCGGCTCAGGGCGATCGATATCCCAAGCGGATCAAAGCGGTCTCTCTCGCTCCGGTTGTTTCTCGATCTCTCTGCGCTCGGTTTTCGGGTGCCCCAGCTTTTCCACCGACTGGTAGTCGCCGGGCGTGTGAGCCAAACACACTTGACACACGCCGGCCTGGCGTTTGCCCATGGACCGCGGTTGCGATGGCGCATGTCTCCATGCAGAGTGAACTGTTTCTGGGAGGCAGGAACCTCCATTATAAGGATCTCTATGTGTATAGATCTATAGGATCCAAAGGAGAAAGCCATGGTGCAGCGTCTCATTCAACTCCGCCTTCAAATCGTCAGGCCCCACTTCCACACGCAAGAGCACGCCACGATGTTCCCAATGGGCAAACCTCAAAAAGTCGTGAGGCGATGAGAAGAAGGGATGACATGATCAAAATTAAGGATATAACATGGTATAGCGGTTTCTCCAAACCAAGTATACTTGATAGTACCTGCCCAGTTCAGGTCCAGGTACCTCCTTTTCGGATGAGTTTGGAGGTGAGTTCGTACTTCGAAGACGACTCGTGGCCTGGAACCAGGCTCGGACGTCCTTTCGCAACGTTCTCTTGGACCCTTAAAGCGTTCCCCATCGGGGTTTCCGCCAAGCCACTTCTGCCCAGGGGTGAGATGTCGCCTCACGAGCGTCACAAGATGTGCCACCAACAAACGCCGCAGCAACTGAACCGAAAGGGCCTTCGGGTTACCCAAGTCGCCAGAAGTCTTCCACTTCAGGCTGGTTTCATGAGGCCTGATGGGCCTGATGCTATATCTATTATAGTTATAGCTCTTGCCCCAAAACCATCGCCGCAGCACCCACATGATGAAGATGATGAAGGAAGATGTCAGCTTGGGGGCGAGCCTCTGATCGCACGACTTGAGCACACACCCGAGCCCACACGTCTCCCGCCTGCTATCCAGCCATACATCAAGGCCCTGCTGTGAAAGGCAGGCCTTGATATCTTCAGCTGCCTTGAAGTCAGGCAAAGTGAGGTGTCCAAATATTGCTCGAACGTGAGTCACCCCCGACCCACGCTTCGCCTTCGACCGGTCCCAAAGACCCACCTCCAAAAAGGCACGTGTGATGGAACATCTGAGAGACAAGGCACCTGCCTTGAGGACATCCAGCTTGTCATGTCGACCTCTCCAAACAACTGGTATGATGACCTTGGAGTCATCTTCGCATCGAGAGGAGCGAGAGGAGTCCTTCTCCTCCTTCTCCTCCCGCCCGATGAACCCAGGCCGGTCAACGGACCCATCCATGGAAGTAACCAAATAGATACATTAAGCATCATGTATAACCATCTCGGTGTTGTTCTCTTGCGCCATGGAAGTCACCAGAAGTAACCAGCCCAGGGATCCAAATACCGATGTATGGCTGTCTCCAAAGTGTGTCCCCGACTCCACCTTCTGAGAGGAGGCCAGTGGATCCATGGCGAAGTTTCTGTGATTCCAGACCTAGTTAGTTGCAGTTTTGAGGGAGCTTGCCCATCTTCCAATATCAGAACCCCCAGACACTGCCCCTCTACCCTCATGTGTTGTCGCACATGGGACATCAGGGGGATGTTATTTCCCCTGGGGAAGAGAATAACAATGAGTGCCAGTTTTACAGGTTTTACTTTCGGGGAAGGACAAAACATCTGTCTAAAAACCCTGAAATCATGACATGTCTGAACTGCCCTATAGAAGCTCTGACCTGAACCCCCTGCTCCACCCTGGTAGGGTTGGGTCCAAGGTCCCTGGGTCCACACCATCGACCCCTGAGCTCTTGGGCCAAATCATGCTGCCTCTGCAAGTGCTCCTTGCCTCGGACTGAGGCGCGGATCGGAGGGACCGGTGATGGAGCAGCTCATAGCGGCGGACGTTGGCAAAAGATCGACCGAAGCGATCAGATATATCGAACACCTTAAGCCTTTTTGGGGTACATGACTCAATGACCGTCATGCACCCAAAAATGGGAATCATCCACAATCATCCATGACTTCCAAAGCAAAGGCGCACCCATAGCTAGCGCTCGGCGCTATGTGCGCGCTCGGCGCTATGCCGCGCAGCGTCTGGGAGTTCCGTGCGTCTCTTCGCAGCACCTTCCTGAGTTCGACAGAGAAAAAAACACGCCCCCCACCGGAGGCGAAGAGAGTGCGTGCTCGCTAGCGTTCGACTTCGAACGATGTTTGCTGGGATTTGGGGTGGTCCTTCTCTATGACTGCTGACAAAAGTGATAATAAGTGAGTGGCCTCCCAGACACGTTGCTTGTCTTTCTTTTCTTTCTTCTTCTGCTTCACCGCACCACGTTTCGCCTGCCAGTGCATGGAACATGATTTAACCTACTATACGATTTACTCCTACTCCTCGACTATGCTCCCACTGTGCATGACTGCTACTCTAACCAACTCACTTCCTAAGTTGTGATTCTGATACATGTCTTTGGACAAGACACTTTGGGAAACGACTTGGAATAAGCTCGCGGCACGACACTGGGGGGAGTGGGGGGAGGCTGCGAACCAGCCCGTCTGATTCTTCACTCAGCAAAAATGGATCTACTCAGCGCTGAATACTAGTAACAAGTGCATCGCTATTAGGAACAAGTGCATCGCTACTAGTAACAAGTGCCTTACTAATAGAATAGTAGAAACAAGAAGCTATTAGACACAATATTGATCATGGTTGATCAAAGCGCTCCTATGGAAATCCGGCTCCCCCCTCTGTCCCTCCTTTTTCGGCCACCTGGAACGTGCGTGGGGTGAGAACCCGTCTTCGTGGGATGTTTCCCAAAGGCTCTCAGTTCTGAGATACCAGGAGATAGCAGGAGTCAAGGTCCACTGTACCCTCTAAGAAAAGACCGAAAAAGGCGTCAGCATCACTGGAAAACCAAAGTTGGGAGACCCATGGAGACCCAGAGTATCACGGCGCAGCTCGCCTTGAGCTCCTTCGTGGCTGCTTTGACTTCAGCCGGTGACTTCCCTTCCTTACGAAGCCTCGGAACGACGGTCGACGTTCAGAGCTGGGGAAGGGGAAAACATCGCAACTTAAGAATACAAAGGCAAGAACTAATTCAGGTCTGTCTTCCGATGTCTTTCATCCTGGAGATGTGGACCCTGGACCAAAACAAACGACACCCCGTCACTGGTCAAAAATGAACGTTCTGGCATGTTCTGTCGCCACAATTGGACCAAACTTCCTGACATCAATGCAGTATCTGGTGGATTCTGAAGGCAAACAGTGGCACCACCAAAATGTTGGTTGCAATCATCTGTCCAACAAATTGGCAATGTTCAAGAAAACCATGTCTTGTTTAGACATCCTGCCTGATCACCAGCTGCTGAATCTCTTTCTGCAAAGCCCGTCGTTGAGCTTCATCAGTGTCAACATCTTGCGATGCTTCGCCAACAACCTCCTCGACCACCTTTGACTCCTCAAGTTTCCTCTTCTTTTTGGGTGTGTCCTTTACCGTTTTGCTGTCAGCTTCGACCGGCGACTCCGTATTTTTCCTCTTCGTCTTTGCTCTCACCGGTTTCTCCACTTCCTCAGCCGGCTCTGGAGCTTTCGTGTTCTTCTTCTTCTTCTTCTTCGATGAGTCTTTCACCACATGTTTCTTTGGCTTCTCCACTTGCAAAGCTTCATCCTCATTCAAACGAGGCTTCTTCCGCTTGACCATGTGCAGCGTGCGGCGTGTTTGAACATACCGTGAACGTGAGTAGTCCCTAATCTTCAATACTTTTGGGTCCGACGAAGGTGTAGAGCTTAATGATTAAAGCTTAGTCAGTGAACTAACATGAGTATGTAACTGATACTGTATTCTACTCTGTATTCTCTATTTGCAAACCTTAATAGGGTGGTCCATGGAGATTTGACCTTCTTGGATGGCACAAATGAGTGCATCCTGAATCTTGATTCATTGACTGTTCCCTTTTGGCCTGACACTCGTGCAATGTTGGCAGCACACAGATGTAGCTGATTGAAGTTTGAGACTTCAGCAAACGCAGATCTATCTGCAGCACTCTATCCGCCCAGGTTACAGGTCCATCTTTAAAGTCAAAACAATCAAGAAAGTCACGGTGTTTCTTCAGGTCAAGCATTGGAATTTGATGGAATTTGGATCCTAAGTTGTGCCGACAGGGTAGACCTCATCGAATTATTTTGCCATTCGGCCATCTCTGAAACCGGTCTTTCCAAACCGCCGAAAAAGGCAACGTGTTGCCGCGTTGCCGCGGTGTTGTTTGACGTCTGTACCGAGGCGCGAGCTGTACAAGAAGCCTCTGATGCTGGATTAATAGCTGGCCCAAACCGCACTTTGTGCGGCAAACTACGCTTAGCCCTCCGAAATGGTTAAGCGGAGGCAGGCCGTGGGGCACAGGCCGCGAGGCATAGGCCGTGGGGCATAGGCCGCGGGGCATAGGCCGCGGGGCATAGGCCGGGGCTGAGAATCATATGAATGGCACTTCGACCACTCCTTCTCACTCCAAACACACCGACTCTCACTCATTCAACATGCGGCCTGACAAAGGAATCATGGAATCCTGCGTTCAGCCGATTGAATTATATCGGCGGCGTCAACCCGAGGTTGACGACGGATTGGGAATATTTCAGGATTCCAAGGTCAAATCTATGGAAGTGAACAGTGGCCGAACAAACAGTGACAGTGGCTGAACAAACGCTTGAACAAGGCACTTTCTGCCGCGTCCTGCGCGTCCCGGTCGCACCGCGCGTCGCCCCCATTTCGCACCTTCTTCATCACCGGTTAACACTCCCATGATCCGATTGGACGCTGGGGTCAACTCGTAGATGGAGTCGAACTGCAGTCGGACTCTGTTGAGGACGGTGGATCTCTAGAGTTGTTTGAAAACTTAAGAGTGGAATTCACAACTTCAACTTCCAGAACTATGGAGTTGGAGTTGAATTCACATCGACTGCAATTGAATTCCTCTGCACATCAATGTGTCCAATTTCTTCTTGACGGGACAACCAGATGGCACTTAGTGCATAAATATAAGTAATGAGAGTATACCTTGAGTCTCCAAAGACCCTATTTTTATACGTTTTTGATTTTGGTCTAATATGTGTGTTTTTGCTCGGAAAACGCGTTTTCAGAGATGAGGACTTAACAAAAAGGTACAGAGGGAATCTTCATCCGGACACGTCCGGTGCGGACGCTTAAAGACGCCTTTTGGACGCAAATAGAGGCGTTTTGGACGCAGAAAAAAGGTCTCAGGACACTGTCTAAGGAGGATCTGACATGGCACAAACAAAAAAGGAACATGTCGTGACATATGCAAAAAAGATTGCTTTCTTTCAGAAACATCTTTTCTTGGAAAGGCGAGTTTAAACGGGTCATTGGAGACCCAAGGTAGTCGGAAACAATCCTCTGGGCTGCACAACTGGCTGGCTATTGAAGCTATTGGCTATTGCGGCTATTGGCGTCCAAAATCTCATGATTTCCCTGTTGCAAAAACAAACAAAATCTGTCGACATCTGTTGACTTCTCTCCGGAGCATCTCAACTCGCCATCTCAGTTTGCCCAATCTCCCTCTCTCATCCTCTCCCATTTCTTTACGTGTTCGCCTGCTTTTCAGAGTCGTTCAACAAGGAGCCATAGGCCACAGCTTCCAGCACCAAGCGTCGTAGGTCGTCGCTGGTCAGTCGAAGCGATTCCACCTGGGTGCCGAAGCGGGCGGTCGCTGACCCCAGGTCGTCGTCGCGATCGTGCGACCCCGCCGTGGGTAGAGTGTATCTTTTGGTTCAACAAAAGACTACTAGCGATGCACCTGTTACTAGTAGCTTCTTGTTACTACTAGTAAGGCACTTGTTACTACTAGCGATGCACTTGTTTCTACACATCTTCCGTTCAGATCACAAATGTCAGGTTGCATATTGACTTACGACTTCTGCACCGGCTTTTATAGGAACGACCCCATCAGACCGAAAACACTCGACGTGCCGACAGCCTGGCCCCTGAAAGCACCCCCATGCATGCCAAACATGGAGTGTCCGGGATATCCTCGTGTACAGCTATCCATCCGTTCTTGGCCTGGCCTCCTTCTTCTTAATGGCCTGCTCGAGTTTCTGGGTAGCTTCCTCTGGACTGCTCACCTTGGGCGGACGCAAAGGACAGGTCGAGTCAACGCTCTCACGCGGTTTTTCTCTCCATCCCCAGCCCCCCAAAAGCACTAAATCTAAATATCATATCCACCACCTAGGTGGCATCTTTGATGTCTCTCTCCGAAAAACCACCCGCTTGTCTTTCCAGTCTTCGGCGCCATGCCCAGCGCATTCACCAGCTTGTCCTTGAGCGCACGCAAATCTCCGAAGAGCGCCGTGACCTGCGACTCCATCGCCATCTGCGCTTCCACCGAAGTCACCGACCACCTGACCAAGCTAACCGGGAGCGGGAGCGGGTGGGGTTGGAGTTTCAGTATGTTACAGTGGGTGGTTTCAAGGGTTTCAGGGTCCACAGTGGTGGTAACTTGGGAGATCATTGGGAATATTGGGAGATGTCAGGTGGGTGAAGAACGGTAAGGCGACCGTTTCAAAGGATGCCCAAATGCTTTGGCAAAGAAGGAAGCGTGAGAAATTGGGTGTTTCACTCCAAGGTTCGATAATTGGAAAAGGAAGAGGAGATGATAGGAGGAGTGATTGGTCTTTGTCTGACTGCAAGATGCTACATGATCGGCTTCGAACGCTTCCACGGCAGTCGAACTCTCGAGGTCCCCACATGCTCTGAACTTCGTCAGCTCCAAAGGATTCGATGTAGCCCTGTGTATCGCGATCGTGGCTCCGGTTTCAAGACATGATGGAAGAACGCTACTAGTAGCTTCTGTTATTACTATAGTAATAAGAAGCTGTAACAAAGGGCATCGCTACGAACGGAGCAAGAAACTACTAGTAACATGTTGTAACACTCAGCATCACATTGCATCACAGGTTTTGCTGGTTGTGGTTGTGGATCCAAATTGAAGACCATAGAGTCAGAGTCAGTGCAAATCTCACAGAGACCTTACAGAAAAACATCTTGTCAGAGGAAGTTCTCTTAGAAGATATCTCTTTCAGAATCCATGGTGGTTTTGGTGCAATGGATGAGACGCCATGCAAACTCTTTTGGACGAGTGGCACTCTGTATTTCAAGGGAGCCATGTTTGATCCGAGGAACACCACCAAACAAACCAAATCGGATGCTTTTTTCAACGAACGGCGCCCAGCCTTCAACGAATCGGCGGCACCCTGATCCTAGACGACTGCTGCAACGAAAGCACCAAACGTGAGAAGGACAACGTTGCTTTCAATGTGTATTTTGTTGAACTCGCAATATGCTTAAGGCCAATGTCAACCTCAAGAACAAAAGCATCAAATCACGTCAAACGGGCAAAGCACCATCTCAATCTCCAATTCTCCTCGAATTCCGATCTGACGAATCCCAACCCTCCCATTCGTCTGCCAATGCCCACTCCATCCGACCCTCCTGGGCGAAGGGGCTGGTGACCTCCGGCGCCTCCTCGCCCCAGGCACCAAAATTCCCCGCCAGCTTCTCCAGCTGATACCTCTCGCGGCCGTGGCGCCGTGGCTTCTCGAAACCCAGGACCGAGGGAAACCGAGCCCAGCGAGGTTAGAGACTGAGAGCTCCAGCACTTTGGTTGACCGAGAAGAAGGAAACAACGATAGGACCCGACATGGTGGCCGAGCAAACATGGTCGGATACGAAGTCAGGGGCGTCAGTGGATGCACGTTTTAAGAATACAGGCTGGTGAAAGTGGTTGTGGCTCCTTGTCCCTCTTCCATCCATTCCACACCACGTATCGATCCCTTCGATCGCACGTGAGCCGGCACGGCGGCGCGCCGCTGATCCACACGTCGGAGGTAGTAGCCAAACATCGCTGACATCGCGTAGACCTGGAGCGATGCGCGGACCACGTCGGGGAGACGGGTCGTCTCGGGCCGGTATGCGGTATAGAGGGCGAAAAGACTTGCTGGGGTCATCTGGTGTCTATATACATGAATGAAGGAGTTTCAATTTGTCAGGTCTAGGCCTGCAGGATGCAGGAGTCGAAGAATGCCTTTTTATATACGGAGTCGGGATTCCCAAGTTTTTTGCGGCTCCAGTATCGGATGTGCCACGGTTTCCCGGACGTCCCTTCGAACAACCTCTTCTTCCCTCAATCGATCCTTCGATGGAAACCGTTCCTCCCGGAGAGATGTCCATGGTGGCGCCGCCGCCGCCTTTCAGGCCGACCATACGGGTGTTGGGTGGTGTTGTTCATGTAGGTCATACCGTAGGCCATACTGTGGGCCATACAAGAGGCATCGCCACCTCCAACGTTCCTGCGTGACACGGGGGGTGGTAACAACCCGCTGCGAACGCGCGCGGGCCCTGCGAACGCGCCCCCACCGTCCCTCCGTCCGCTCGTGTGGACCGGCCTGGCCCGCTTGAAAGAGCGCGATCTGAACCACTCCCATGCCACCAGCGAAGGAAGGATTGCCTACCGCGGGCTGCCGCGAACCAACTGATCACCCGCTAGAGCGCCTTTTCCCCAGTAGAACCTACAATACCAAAGGGGTCGAAGCTTTGGTTTCAACGAACCCACTCGGCGGAACCCTGGGAGTCTTTGTTCAGGGCTTGGCCGCACGTGCGCCAGCCAGCCATCGTGCGAAGCTCGCTGTCCACCCCGCGCCTTGCTGTCCGATGATCCGGAACAAGTGCTCTCGCACCAGCTCCAGCGCATCTTTGGAATAGATGTCCGTGGTTAAAGCCTGGCTTAAAGTAGATGCACTCGGTATGACTCCAGGAACTGGCTGAGTGGCTCAGTATGTCACTCCGTTTGGCTCAGCATGTCCGAGACAGATTATATAAATCCACTCAAAGGCAAACAGGTTCATCTGTTCAATTCAATGGCTACTCTCATTGCAACAAATGCTATGCCACTCCAATATAACACTCAAAAGGTTTCAATGAAGATTAATGATATCATACTCAGTCAGAAATAAATGAAATAATTATGGAATCTTTGATCTGTCATATGTCCGCTGTACATTCTGTCAGCAAGCAGAAGCACAGTGGACTGCTGCAAGGAGTGGGGCGTGTTACCTTGAGGTCCACGTTGCCAAACTTCACGTCGCCACCCTCCTTGAGCACGGGAATCAGCGGCACTTGGAGCTGTTGAAACTTCCGACAGACCTGGCCGTGGCCGAACGAGACAAGAAGACACGCAGAACATGGATGGAGTGAAGCGAAGAGAGTGAGCGACGCGAGGCGAACAGAAGAGAAGGAGAGGAGGATTTCATGCTTAGATTGGGACGTTGCATGGGCGCTGATGTTCAGGAATGGTACTTGAACTGGGCTTGTGCAACCGTGGAAAAGATTGAAGGCAATGAGAAACTCAGCTCATCTGCAAATCTCAGGGCCCTGAGTCGACTCATCTGCGTGTTGCGCAGAAAGTGGAGGAGCATCCGGAAGCCTTCAAGTAGAGGAGCTCTGTGACTGCACCTGCAAGTCGCTACAGTGGCCCAAATAAAGCACTGTAGATCATCCTCTGGCAAAAAGGGATGACCAAACAACATCATCCACGCGGTACCAGCAAATCTTCGTCTTGCAGATGCCACGACATGCAAAACACAATGGACCCAGTCTGAACATGTGCAAGAACTCCATGTCTTAAAGCCTTCTACTTCGCCCAGGCACGAATCCGGTCATTCATTTTGACTTCTTCAATGCGTCTTCTCAGAACCAGGGTGTCCTGCAGCTCGCTCGCACCGCTTAAGCGTATAGGAATGAAGCGAACGCCAAGCGTTGGTCCTCCTTGGCATTGGCCTCCATCTCCTGGATATGGCCAATGTCACTTGCCACTTAGAAGCCAAATTGAAAAGGCCATCAAATCTAGATTATGGCATAGAGTTCTATAGCGTAGTTCTTGCCAAGAGACACTCTTCTTCTTCTCCTCCTCCTCCTTTTCTTCTTGGAGCTTCTGTGGGCAGGGCACAAAGCTCAAACAGCTTCCACAAGCAGAAGTGAAACGAGATAAACCTAACGTCCTCAGAACAGTACTCCAGCAGCGATGAACTATACAACAGCTGCGTTCTATTTGCCTGTACACCATGTCACGCTCTTAGTCTTTACAGTGAATCCACTCTTCTGTAGGTTTTTGCAGGTTTTGTGAGAACTAGTTTGTCGTCCATCCACAGCCACCTTGGACAACCGCCCGGCCAACCGCCCGGCGATGTCGGCCTCTAGCTCCTCCTCCACCGACATGTCGAACAACGTGGGATTCTCCTCGGTGGATCCCACACGATCCAACCGTGCATCACTCACGTATCGAACGAAACATGGAAGAGAAGGGTCGAAGCTGTTCACCCTCTTGAATTTTGCAAAACATTAAACAAAAAAAACACGAGGTGACGAGGTACTTTTAACATCTTTTAACCACTGCTCCGTCACTGCCCGTGTTCTCTCATCTCGACCCCCTCGTCCGGTAGATCACACCCTTCGTGGCCCTTGGTCGTCGACGTTCCCGTTGGGGGGGTCCAAGCAGGTCCGACGTCGATGCAGAACGGATTCCATAAGAACATGTGTTGGGTGGGTCTGGGGTCTGGTGGCCAAGTGGGTTGGTTGAATGAAAAAGCGGTCACCACCGACCACCCCTTCAAACATCTTCAAACATTCTTTCTTGATGTTTCTGGTCCTTTTGACTTATGCAACAGAATTATGATTGAATGCCCCGCGGAATTTGAGCGCTTTGCCTTCATCAAGTAGACTGCTTTCTGCGCAACGCCCGTGTAAATCTCTGCAGGCCCAGCCTGACGGTTTCAGTCGTCAGTCGAAGGTCTAAGACGGAACGAGTATGATGCATTCAGTGTACCCAGACGCTCCAAACAGGTCTTGGTCCCTCAAACCCTAGGGATTGGTTCGACCCCAGACCCCTCCATATATGAAGGTCGGAACCCTCCAATGATTCGGGTACAGGGCCGCTCGTGTCTGGGTAGATGGAAGGAATGGCGACATTGTTGGATTCATTCAGAAGGTGTTCTTTTGTCCGGCGCATTCTTGTCAAGACATTGTTGGTAGGAATGCATGAAAATGACAATGCATCTCGGATCAGTGCAACAATAAGTCGACTGCTTCACCTGGCATATATGCTTTACCTTTTGAGTCACTCTTCGGAAGTGCTGGGCCTTCTTTCAAGTAAAAACATGTAAACACCAGAGTCCTTGGCAGCGTCGCTGGGCCTTCCATTTGTCAGGTAGATCAGAACTGCTCGCTTTGGCCCGCGTTCTCCTCCTCATCGGCTCGACCTGGAGAGCTCCACACAGCTCTGCGCTTCGTTTCGCCCGTTGTGAACGCCCATCGTCGCACCACTGAGTTCACCACGTGCTTCGCATTGACAAAGGCCCAAAGGTTCGCCTGCGACCGACCGGTGAAGCTCCACGTTCGGAAGGCGAGCTCCGCCGTCTCGGATCGGAGTCGTTTAAGGTCCAGGCGTAGGCCATCGCCAGGACGGCGTAGATGGCAATCCCTGAGCCATGTCCGAACAAGACCAGGAACGTCTTCAGTTGTCTTTATGCATCAAAGTATACAAACTGCCATGAGCCCCGAAACCATGACTTTCTATTAATGTCGACATAGGATTAATCAACCTCCCCCGCCCCCCCCTTCAAGGTCAACAAGGTCAAGAAGGTTTGGGATTGGAGGGATTGGAGACCACATCCCCTTAATAAAGATGATGGCCTGATGATGGATGATGAGATGATGAGGACAAGATTGGGATGATTGGGATGATTAGGAAAGAGATGAAAGAGATTGGAAGACAAGATTCTTTCTTTGATTGGGATGATTAGGAAAAGAAAGAGGATTGTGGGATGAAAGAGATGGAAAACAAGATGGAGGCCAGAGGGTGGGCTTGATAAATAGGGGGAGGAGTCCCTACTATTAGGGGGTGGTAGGGCCTGTGTTACCCTTTGTGAGCTTGAAAACCTTAAGATGTTGATAGAGTTTTAATAAGGGAACATGAAATAATGTTGCTAGCAAGTTTTGTTTGATTGTTACAGGGAAGGAAGCAGGATAAGAGGCAAAAGGACGATGATAATGATATAATGATTGATGCTTCAATGATTGGTGGATATTGAATACTAGCAAAGAAGACAGTCAATAAACACAAACAGTATGAACACAAGTATATTGTGTTTCTTTCTCTGGTGCAGCTGGGCTTGATTAGTAGGGGGGGTTCTGGCAAGGAACAAAAGTTATCAGGGGGAAGTTAGTTGCAGGGCTTTAATTAGTTTAGTATTGGAGGCTCCAGCTGGGCTTGATTAATAGGGGGGTGGTTCATCCTATGTTGACATTAAGGAACATCGCCTTGCAAGAGTTCGGGTTCCGCCTTCAAAAGAGATCAAAAGTCTTGTGGCACATTTGAGATGAACCAGGCTATCGGTCCCAATTGCAACCTCAGTGATGGCCCTTGTGTCACTCTGCTTTTCGTACAACAATTACAACACAGATCCATATATATATATATTGTATTGCTAGCATTTGCATATGCATTTGCGCTATAATTTTTGGGGTGCAAATTCAACGATGCCCAGCATTCGAGTTCGCGGCGGCTAAGAGTTCTGGTCCGGGGGCTGCCTCGGGCGCCTGCCGGCGCGGCGTCCTCATGGATGTATACGAACCTTTTCAAACAAACACCCCCTGGGCAACCATCGGTTTAGCATGTCATGCGCCAAATTCATGTTATATGACAAGTGCCGCATCAAAGAGCCAACATCATTGAAAAGGGCAATGACAAAGAACCAAACAGCAAGCTTGTTGCACCTTGTTGGAGATTGGTGAGTATGCCAAGTTATACGAGGTCCTCTTACAAAAAAAACAACACCATTCTTGGTCAGCACAATTTCTTCGGCACTGTCTAAGTCTAACTGTTTTAATCTCTTATTCTAAATAGTATCTCCGATTTTACGTGTGGAACAAAACAGGTGAAGACCATCTCCCTTCGGAACACCGTGTTCAGTGGATGCATCGTCTAGAACGCATCCGAAATCAGCACCGAACCGGTTCACCCAGGCTTCGACCGTGTCCACGACAGTTCTTCACCGAAGAAAGCCACTGGGCAGCCGACTCATCTTGAGTGTCTCTGAGCCCGTCATGGCGGAGAACAACTGTGTCAAAACTGATCAAGCGAAAAGGGCTGGCAGGTGGAGCTCCAATGGTGCGATGATATGAGGACATGATCTTTCTGCTAGCTTGCATTCTGCACCCAGTATCGCCTCTTCCCTGAAAGAGGTGTGACATGGTGTGACACAACACGGTGTGCATTGTGACATCTGCTGAGTGTTTGTAAGGTCTGACATCTGCAGTTTCACATGCCATGTGCGACCGACTTCTTCGCCGCGTCAGCGACGGTGGGCCGGGCGGAGTCCGAACGCAGCGTTCGCCCACCGCGAAGAGGTTTCGCCCAGAAGAGCAACGTTTCGCCCAGAAGGCCGTCCTGGTGGCTAGTGGCTATATACTTCCTTTCAAGTCTAATGGTGAAGTGAAGGAAGAACCTCCCAACAATCAAACCCTTCGTCTACCGAGTCCGAAATCGCCAGTGGCTGGCAGAGGTCTCCGCCAGTCGTCCCGGACGTCCCTTCTCCCCGCCTTGGCGCCAGGGGTGGTCGCCCCAAAGTGACCGAAACATGAAGAAACACGAGGACCTTGATGGACCGCCCATGGTCATGCTCACAGGGTCACAGGTGGTGGCCATGGTCTCTCGCGGAATCTGTCATGGGGATGGCCAGGGAAGCTGTTTGACCCCATGAAAGGTGCGTCAGAGAGTCCAGTCAGAGTTTAGCTGTTGCGAGTCCAGCTCTTTTTCTGCAATAAGCGCTACTCCAAGAGTTGCTTCACATGTGGCATGATCGTGCCAGGTGCTTGTCTGGCCACATACTCACGCAGTTGAGCCTTCCAGTCTGGGTGCTGTACCAGCACATCCTGCCGATCCCGACAAGACTGACAATCGTCCGAAGAGAAATATGCAGTGTACAGTACCCCAAAAAGGTCAAGGGTCAGAATCAACAACAGTTTAATATATAAAACAAGCTTTCATAGAGCCCTTCGAAAAAACCATTGAGCCTTAGCCACACCTGTTTGGGGGGAGTCAGGTCCTCCAACTGTGACATGGGTAGCATAGCCAGAACTCTGGCTGCACCACTTGGCTGGCTCGCAAATGTGTGTTGGAGCACAATCATGAAGCCACGCCTGATTTCAGAGCTTCGATGAGCGAAGATCGGATTTCGACGTCTTTCAACCAGTTTAGACATTGGTGGCAGCAAGAAAGACTCCACCTCTCTGACCACACATCTTCTCCGTCTGTAGCTGACTGTGTGGGTGGTCTTTGGGTCAGCATGACTTACCAGTTCTCATCTGAGGGCAGCGCCACATGTTCTCATCTCCCCAAACTTCTTGTCGAACGAGTCTGGGAAGAATCTCCATGACAATGAAGTCCGACAGTCGAGGGAGCTCTTTGACCTCAAGCGTGCGTCAAAGGACGCAAGGTTGGGTAGCGTTCGGACGGCAACGGCGGCAGTGAATGCAACACATGCTAACATCAAGTGTATATAATATGAGTTTCTTGCTACAGGCATCATGAGGCATCCTCGAGATAGACAATGGAATCACACATAATGGACTTGCTCCACATGATCTGCTCTTTGTCCATCTTTGTCCTCTACAAGTAACACAGCGAAGTTTCCCACTGGGCAGATGGACCACTTGTATCACTGTTCGCATGAAGAGCGTTGGTAGTGGCCCTGGTTCTTCCACCAGCGACTGAATCACAATGCCATAGACCTTCGCATCAAACTTCTCCTCCAAACAACGATCGTGGCGCCTTCCGGTCTCTGGATCTGTTGGTTGAAAGCTCCAGCCAATGTGGAACCCGTTAATGCTTTAGCCGGGCGAGGAGCGTTACAACTGCCAAACAGTTAGACACTGTGTTTATCTCTTTGTTTCAGGGAGTAGTGGGGGTGGTCACTTTGTCAAGTGTTGAATGTTCGTTGCTTCAACGATTGAATAATAAGTATAAAACATGAATTAAGACCGTCTTGGCCAGTTCACTCCAAACCCACCGCCTCCAACCACTCAGGTGACGACACGGTGTCAAAATACGTTGTTGGGATCAAAACAGCGGTCCCGCATGGAAAAGATGATGTTGAGGGCTTGCATCGAGGCTTTGATCGGCACCTCAAGTGACGAGGCGGCCCAGGCAAATACGTGCGAGCTTAGGCGTTCGGCGGTGCGGTGCGCGACCGGGCTGGAAAATAAAGCAACGAACCGCAAAACGAAACGCGGCAAGCGTTTTGAGTCCTGGGCTTTAGATACGGTTCATTTGGATGACTTTAGATGATATAGGTTTAAGCGTGTTTAAGCCTATGAACGAGCGTCAGGCGTGTCAGCTTTCACAGCTTCTCGGTGAGAATCGAGCGACAAACATACAATCTGCACTCAGTGGACTGGTGTTGGGCCACAAACTTTAAAAAAATCACCCACAGGCAAGCTTTAACACATCCGGCGAAATCGGTGGTTCCACCGCCTTCGAAGAGATTTGTGTAGGGGGTTGTTGGGTGTTCTATTGTGTTCTTCTACAGGATTATAAAATTAAATAGTTTTGTCAGGGGTGATGTTCATAACAGGCCATTCAAACTATAGCACCTTTCGAGTGTGAGGCCTTCAAGCACTTGGTGTTGGACAATCCCTGCAGCTTGAGTCTCACCGTTTCGGGAGTTTGACCGTTTCGGGAGTCCTTCGCGGCGAAAACACGTCACGGTCTTCGTCGCCGACGTTCGCGAAACTCGTTCTTGCGAGCCACGATGTTCTCACCGCTGTTCACGTGGTGCAACTCCATCAGCAGCTCAGTCACCTCGGAGCTCGCGACGTGGGACGGACGTCTGGATCGACGTGGAGGGGCCGCTTGAGGCGAAGCAATGACTTGCGGCAAAGCCCAGAACTTGCAATGACTCATTTGACCCCAACTGGGAGTCATCATCCATCGTCATCAACTGGGAGTAAATGTGGTAAAAATGAGTCAAACTTGGACTCTCAGGGTACGGCAACTGACTGTCATCATTCTGTCCTAACTTCTGCTTTGATGAAAGAGGCATGCCAAAAGCTATTCCAAGTAGTACTCTACACAGTTGCCACTAAATGCCACTACAGTTGCCACTATAGGTCGACTACAGTCTTCATCTCCCTTTCCGGATCCAATTGCGAGTCATTTGGGAGTCGGCGTCGGACGGCTTTTCACTCAGGCCCCCGGGCACTGATGGGCGGCGCACGGGACCCGACGATCAAACCTTGGGCGGAGTCCGGGTGCCTTGCTTTTGGGGGCCTTCCTTGGGCGGGAAGCCCAACCGCGACACACCCGTTTGAACGGGCGACGGATCCAGAACGTCTAGAACGGCCCAGAAACGGAAGGCGTCCGCCACCTTGTCCTGTTCCAGCTGCAAGACCTGGAGCTACAGGGAGCAACGGGCATCGACCTCTTCGGCCAATGCGGAAGCGTGTTTGCCGCCACATGACATGGTCACCCAATGGTGACCCAATGGTGAACCAGTATATAGTGGCCAACATGTATAATATGAATAGAGACCAATCACTACCTTTTTTTCGGGTGTTGGCACCTGGATTGCTGTGAAAAAGCTTCTTCCAACGGTCTGTGCTAGCTGTTGGCAGCTGCTTCCCTTCATCACCGCTGAGCGCCCTGCAGCCGGAAGATAGTCCAGGAGGCTGTTGCCTCAGTTTTCGGCTGCAAGTGTTAGGGTTGAACTGCTATTACTTCATGTTGCTCCAAATGATCTCAATTGGGTAGCTAAATGCATCCCAAACCACTGGTCAAGTGGAATAATATTGGAAGCATTCGCAAGGGAGCGTAAAGTTTCAAAACAGATTCCCGGTCACCAGTCTGGTTCAACCACCCATCTGATCGTCCGCTTCCCTTCGCTGGTCTTCAACCACAGGCCGCTCACCATCCCCCTCAAACCCGGCCATTGGGGTCTTGCACAGGATGTTGGGACAAACCAAGCCATGACCAAACACTGCAAAGAAGAAGCTTCGGCGACACTCTCGCCGGCGAGACCGGACCAAGGCCGGACGTTTTGGGGGGCTAAGCCCTAGCCCTTCATTTCCTCGGTCCCAAACACTGATCTACGCTCCATCTATATGCTCCATCCCCCTACCGCCTACTCCTTCTCTACTCCATGGCTACCCCATCCGCTTCGATCACTGCTTCGGGACGGTCCAGCAGATCGAAGACCGGCACCAACAAGCGCGGATCATGGCTCTCCTGCAGCGGAGAGAGACGTTGCGCGAGCGAGACGAGACCGCGAGACGTGGCGCGGCCGAGGTTCACTGTGCCGCGGGCCTTGTAGAGCTTCAAGACGGCTTCTCCAAAGCCCGGCTGCAAGGGCTCGTTCCCTCGGCTGCTCCTGGCGTGTCCCACGCGGACGGTGGGTGGGGTGGACTTCCCAGCTTCGTACAGTACGGAATTCTGCCGTCTTCCAACGAAATATACAGAACTGTTTTTGGAAGATCACTTTACTGACAGAATCGTTCCGTTTTGGCAGAAAGCCAGTTCCGATGGGAAGTTCCGATGTTACGAAGAAACCCCCAAAAGGAAGACACTGAGAAGCCCCGGCATCAAGATGTTCAGCACTTTGAGGATCAAGGCCTCTGTTTGCCGCGAGGCCTCAGACCGTCTACCAAAGCGACTGAGGCAAAGTGACACGGACAACGGTCAACCCGCTACTGAACCCTTAAGCCTTTGAAACGCTGGTATACTGTTAACGGTTCCATTTGACATTACTATTTGTGGAAGATCTAGCAAGCCGTGTAAGGATTGCTGTTTTGTTTTTTGCCAACAAGTGTTTGGCTCACTTTCCATTGGAATCACTGGATACAGTGTGCACAACGTTCCACACTGGCCTTCTGCACCAGCACCAGAAGCTCCTGCAACATGCAACAACCAATCGAGCACCCTGGTGCCTTCGATGCTGCATGAGTATCAAACCTCAGCTCCGGTTTTCACAAGCAAGCCTTTAGGCTTAAGACTGGGCAAGCATCTCAGACATCAAAAAAAAAATTGAAATCTCAGGCTCTTCTGGGTTCCATTTGGGTCCTCCACTTTGAAAGAACAGGCTGCTGTTGTTTGTTGACACGTTTTCCTGTTTCCTTCTGCTTCTTTCTGCTTCTTGGGCTCTTCCCGTTCCAACATGACCGGCGTCCTGTTCGGTCACCGGGATGTACTTCACCGCCTGGGGCGCCAGCGCCACGAACGTGGGCGCGCCAACAACAAGTGGCGGCGGCCCTTGTTTTCACGGGCGGAAAAAGCCGCCAGGTGCAGGATTGGTGAGGATGCTCTCTTTGTTGATTGGTTTGTTGATTGGTTTCTCTTTGTTGTTCTCCTTTTTTGGTGAACAAACCTGCAGCTATTTGATGCAAAGGACATCAGACATGGCCTCTCTGTCAACTGTATATTTAACCTCTCTTAAGCCGTCAAACAGTCGAAGCAAAAAGGAGGTACATCAACATTTGTCTGATCCTCGGCACCTAAATCCTTGACCCAAATAACACCTCTCTTGCAGCTGTTGCATATCTTCTTGGTCATGAATTGAACCTTAAAGGCATGGTATTCCTACCCTTCCATAGAAGCTGGTCGCTTCATCAATGTGACTCCCAAACCCCTTCATCATGGAACCTTCAAAATTGAACTGTTTTCGTATGTTTTAAAATCAAATCCATACAGGTAGTATATAGGAGGTCTCGTCAAGGAGAGGAAAGGAACCAGCCTCCTCAATGGAATTGATGAGATGCTCCTTCATCTCCTCGTCGCACTGGTGAAAGGTCTCGACGAGGCCATGGAGCAAGATGGGCCTCGCAGAGGCATTCCGGTGTCGCAAAAGGAAAGGGTGGCCCCCTTAGTGTGCGAATCCACCAAAGGAATTGGCTCCATTTGGTGAACTTTATCAAAACACCATCTGTCGCAGGTCAATCAGCTTACGTAACCTATGGCAGCAAGTCACCTAACCTGTTTTCACCACGCAGGTGCCACCCCAAGTGGTCTTCGGTGTCGCCGACCGGTCGGTCACAGCGAGCCGAGTCGGTCACAGCGCCGGTCGTCGCCTTTTGATGCACAGAGCGCCGTAGAGCCACACACGATCCTTTGGAGCGCAAATCGCACCTGGCACCGAGTTTTTCGCGCGGTGAATGGGTGCGACTCGGTGCGACTGTTTCAGAAGTAAAGCCTGAAGATCGAGAAGGGGGGGAATTCTCGATGTTGCGGCCGTTTGCGATGGGAGTTCGAGCATATTAGAACAGCTGAATATTGATTTAGACCAAGTTTCAAGAACAAGTCAAGGTATACGCTCTGAAGGGATCCACGCCTTTGAAGAGATCTGCACCTGAGGAGGGCAGCTCCAGGGAAACCCCCCTCACCACCAGATGGCCGGCTCGCCACAAACCAGCTCGTAAATGCCACGTGGATAGATTCTCAAGCAAACATATCATATTGGTGACCTTATAAGGAAGCCAAAAGCCATAAGTAGATGGCAGTTCCCGCGCAGCCACCTACTTAACCACCAAATGAGAGCTCTTCCCTGCACCCCAAACCAGTCAAAACCTTCGAGACCCAAAGTGAGACCAAGAAGTCAATGAACATTGAAGAACAGAACATTGTTTGAACTTATATATTGGATCCTACATCTGATGGAACTCTTAACTGCCCACCCCCCAAACACACGTTGATCCCGTTGGACCAGTCCGATGGTGTCCCGAGCGGCGGAGCTGCTCCAGCCGCAGGGGGATGCCAATGGCGTGGCGGAAGGAGCTCTTGGCGCTCGCTGCGGAACCTTGGTGAAAACCCCTATAGCGGAACCCAAGGGTTTTTTTTCCAGACGTCTAGACCTCTCAAAGACACGTGTGGGAAAAGAAAGGACACCATTATTTGGAAGACAAAATCCCTTTCTTTTGAGGATTCCTCTTTGGAACCATTCAACTCGATGCATCATTCAAAGGGAAACTTGTGGGAAAGCCCGACGACTTGGAACAGGTCTCGAGGCAACTGCTGCAGACCTCGCGGACCGCGGACCGCTGGTGCACGTTCACCGAGCTCGAGACGTAGCATGAGAGTTGCCAGGTCTTCGATGCAGCGACCGCGCAACCTGGGCCACTGGTGCACTGGGGTTGGCAGCTGGAGGAGGGACTTGACAGGAGTATCTGCCAAAGCACAGACAGAAGTTCTGCGGCATATATTTTCGGTGTCAAATTACATCAAGATGATGTACATCATCAATTCTAATTCTAATTTGTTACGATAGTAGTAACAAGTGCCACGCTAGTAGTAACAAGTGCCTTACTAGTAGTAACAAGAAGCTATTATTCTAGAGGTCTGGAGTTGCCACATCGTTGATGTTCGTGTTGCTTGAGCGAACACCTAGGTGGAACCCCTGCCTGTCGATCGGCAGGAAGTCCGGATCCACCAGCTCCCAGGCTGTTCCATTGGCATCCTGCGATGTCCATGGCCCATATTGAAACCACGAGACAGGAAGAGTTACATGCAAAATACATGTTCATGATTTGACTTTGTAAGATATATATGCCAGGGAATCCAAATGTGCATGTTTTTTTGTTCAAACACGTTCGCACAAAAAATCTGTGCATCCGGCCTTTTTTGTCAAATGGACAAATTTTCTGGAATTCCTCCGAATATTGGGTTTGATTGGTTTTATCAATATAATTGTTTGGGTTTTTGTCGATAAAATGTTGATAAAGTTTGGGTTTCATATGGGTACGCTTTTGTACGGTATTGTTTTTCTGTCCATACGGCTAAATACCCTAATTCGTTAATTAAAATGTCCATATACGATAAATTCTGTCCAAATACGGCTTTCGCACAAAAAAAAGTGTTCATACGCCTTTCCAGGTAACTATATATTCGATACATGGATGTTCTAGGAAACACACTGAATCGATGACCCTCTGATGACCGATCGAACTTCACCTCAGATCTTGCAGAGTCGTTGCGCAAGGCACCGGTCGAATTCATCGCCTCGGGCGGGAGGAGACGATGAGCTTCAGCATCTGAGAGATGTGGAAGCTGCCAGCCTGATGAACTCAAACACGCGACGAACTCGTCAACCTGTTGGGATCCTTTTGGACCAAAGGGCCTCAATTACTTCTGAATTCTTGTTGTTCTGCATGCAGGACAAGTGAAAGAAAACAACATGAGATCACTGGCACACTCCGTGCAGGAGACCTCTTTACATGGGGCAAAGCGTTAGTGAAAAGCACCTCTGCAGCGAAAGCGACGCCATCTCGCGCGCTTGGCCGCAGTTGGTCCGGTTCGCTGTGTCATCTGAGCACCCTTACGCATGGGAGCGCTTGGCGCTGCGTAGATCTTGTTGATGATCAATCGGATGGTGTCGAAGCGCACGACGTCCTTTTCTTCGAGCCAATCATGTAAGGACACGACGATGGCTGTGGGTCTGTGGGTCATGGCACATCAATGCACCACTAGACTGACGCACCACCTACCAGGCTCCGCCTTTCGCTACATGGTGGACCAGTCCTCGGGCGATGCATGGTGGGTCACAACCCATCCCCACATGGCCACGCAGCCAGAAACGGAGATCAAAGGAGCCAGGACTGGAGCCAGGCGAGGTCCCGCGGTCCCTCCATGTTTTTGTTTGCCCAACGTTTCGGCCAACCTTTTTGCCCAACTTTCAAGAACCACAGCAACATACAGCAACCTACTTCGGCCGAAACGTTCAAATCCAAAAAGTGCCGACAAACCGCAGAAGGCATTCACGGTCCTCTCCCGCGGAAAAGGCCAGCTTCAGGAGAAGGTTTAAGCCGCGCCAGCGACACGCAGGCTTCCCTGAACATGAGGTATAGATCATGTTCAGATCTGAGACGTGACATTGGAGCTAATCGGCCACATTTCAAGCGAGCCTCGCTGTGGTACACGTATGATATCGTGATCATCGTGGGAAAAGGAACATGTGAAGGGCACGATCGGACTGGTACATTAACTGAACAGGCTGTGCGGTACAACATGTTAAGCTCTGCTAGAAAAACGAGGATGGGCGGACGGGTTCCGTGGATAGTCTCCACGCGTTACCATCGTCACCATCATCCACGTGGAGTTCACCATCGTCACGTTTGGCGATGGAATTCACCCGCCTTCGATCAAGGCCAAGATCGTGAGAAGTGCCATCTTCCGCGCTCCTCTTCGGTTCATCTTCGGTTCGGTGGCATGGAGGATCAAATCCAGTTCCCCCTTCAGTTCCAGTCATGACGGGCACGTGCTTTTTCTTGCGATCTGATCTGTATCATTAGACTTCATCTTCCATCTGAAGGAATTGCACAGGTTCTGCCAAAGCAAACGCTCTGATCTTTATCAGAGTCCCAGGAACCTTGATGGTATCTTGAGATTCATCCATGACCAGGTTTTGTTTGCAGGATCAGAAAGAGGGGGTGGACCTGGAGAAGCAAGTCATGCAGCCGTTTATTTGATTATATATATCATATCCCCCATTAGTTTGGAGTTCGAGCATCCACAAGGCTGCTAGATGCAAAAGGAAAGGGATGGATATCGGATGGATGAAACATGATGAAAACACTCGGAGTTTCTCCGCATGGCCCAAGATGCCCAAGTCAACAAGTTGAAGCTCACGAATAGTGATAGAAAAAACACACTGATTGGAAAACATGTCCCAAAACTACGGCCTTCTCAAATCTATAGATCCATGACGCCATCCATAACGACTACCCCACTCTGAGATCCGAAGGCGACTGAGCTAAGGCTCGACAAAGCAACTGGTGACCCCTGGAGCGACCAGAGGGGGGGGGGGTGTTCTCACCCGGAATCTTCCATCCCTTCCACCTGCGTTCCACATCTGGGTCGAAGGACTCCCGACCGTCATAACCTCGCAAACTCACCTCTTGACCCGTGGCACGGTGGTGGCACGTGTGCGGCGGCGGCCGGCCGCGCGCGGCGGGAGTCTCCTGGTAGCTGACACTGTGCTTCCAGCGCACGGAAGGCCGAGAACGGGACCGCCGGTAGCTCGCCCAGGAAGGTCCGGAACTCCCGCCTGCTCCGGGTTTCAGTGCGGTTTCTCCGACCTGCTCTGACCTCGAGGAACACCCATCTCCATCCGTGGCTGGGGTCGTGGGGTCTGCGAATAACGTGGGTCGGAGATGACGGTGCCACACTCAGATTGACCAAACGAAAGCAAATCGATATGCCAGTTCACGGTTCTTGGTTGCGGGCTTCTGGGTCACCAGGGAATATGACGCTGTAACAGCACCCAGTCAAACTCAGCCGCCAAAACAAACCAACGCCCACAGCCTTCACCACCCCGTCAATCACTTCCAGTATCAAATATTTAAATCTGCACCCAAAAAAGTCTTTGATCATGTGGTCTGCACTGTAGGTCCAGTACCTTGGCACGTCCCGCTTGTCGAACTCTGCGAGGCACATGTCGAAGAGCTCCTGGTGAGAAGAGCGATCTGGCAGAGCACATGGGGGAATCGATCTGTGGTCTGACACCTTTCAAGGCAGGGTGCCTCTTACTCACCGGGTAGGACTTCTTCCAAATCATCAAGGTCAAGTACTCTTAGAACAAATGCAAGTACTCTTCCTGAACACAGCAAGAACGCACGCCAGCAAGAAACCATTTTACACACATCCACGTGTCAAAACTTTTCAGGAATCCTCACCTGTGTGCCATTCAGTTCCTCGAACTTCATTACATTCATTGGATGAAATGAACAAAAACAAAAGGAATCAAAAGGTCGGTCCACCCCACCGGCCAATGTTTCATGTGCGAAACGATGGAACTTCTCTGCTGACCAACAAAGACCCCACTACCAACAACAACACTTAGACTCCTACAAGATCGCATAAACATTTCAATAATATATGATATCATACCAGGACCCTCCAAGGGGTGCCGTGTCTGGAAGCCAAAAAAGGTGGTGTGGGGAGGTTCATTGAACACCCCGACAGAAGGGTTCTGACATAAATTTACCTGAATTTGAATGTAAACAAATCCCTAGGGCTCCAGTCGGACCTTCTTAGAAGGTGGGACTGGGGTGGGTTTAGAGGGTCCAAATACCTTCTAAGGAGGTACTTGGAGGATTAGGGAATGAAAAAAACGCAACCCATCCACCCACCCCAGGGGGGGTCCACGTAGGTGAAGTCGCCGGCGGCCAGGCGTCGGGACGAGGCGCTGCCCTGTGGCACTCGCGGTTGGTGCACCCGGTCGGGCGACCGGCACACCGGGAGTCTCAGCCCGCGAGGTCAGGCGCCGACTGGAAGTGAAATGCATGAAAATGAAGGGTGGTGGAGAAAACTCCTGTTTCGATTGGGGGAAAACAGGAAGAACACCAAGTCCTTCGTGGAAGTGAATTGAATTGAGGTCGGTATGTGCGGTGCTTGGGGACAATTCAGCAGGGTGTGGAAGCGACTTACTTGTTGTTCTTCCGTTGTTCTAAAGAGTGGTCACAACCGACGTGTCCCAATGTCTTGGAGAGGTCAGCTTGTCTGTTGTTCGCGATCAGGCGAATTCATGGGCGATCGGTTCAATTCATGGAAACTGAAGAAACGGTTACACTATGTTACACTCGGTTGATGAGCCAAATCCTGCAACACCTACGGGACCTACCTGGACCTATGCCTACCTAGCGCCTACCGTTCGCGCTTCCAACGAGCTTTCTGGTGTAGGGAGAATCCACACAAGTGACCCTGAACTGAAGGCAGGGTGCAGTGCTGCAGGGGTCCTTGTCTTGACCATTTGAGCTATAGGAATTCCGGAAGCCCCCAAAACTTGGCTTGACAGGCGTTCTGCGGTGTGAGATCGACGGACCCACGACTGGTTCCCATCTCAAGACAAAATATTGGAACAAGAACAATTTCATTGGAATTAACATATCTCATTTCCCGAAACGCGCCCTTGCCCTGGAGCCGCAGCAAAACACACCTACGACCGTTTTACTACACACCAACAAGCATGGCCGGCCGGGACGCCACAAGAGCCTCCAAGATCTCCCGGAGCGGAACTCGCTGGTCCGACTCCTAGCCGGAGCAGAGTGAGTGAGAGCAGGTCCGACACTCCACTCTCGTGAGTCAGTCGAACAGGACGTGTGGGTTTCACGAGTGGGGGAGTCTGCACATAGGAGACCAAGATCAGTATGTCGACTATTGTTCAGTACGAGCAATGGATTCTGAGGTGAATAGAAGGCGGCACCAAAGCACATAGCTGCTATAGCTGAAAGGTTCTTTCAAAAATAGGGATGCCACCCCCCTTCCCAACAAACATCCGTCGTTGTAGTTAAGAAGGGTGTCCATACTCTTCGACCACCTCTAAATAACTTTAACTCAAATCATACTTGTGAGAGAAGCCTATACCAGCTCATGGCCATACCTCTGCTCGCACAGCCAACTGGTTACCAAACTCTCCAGAACTCTTCAATGCTCCATGGTACTCCCGGCACTTCCTGGGCCAAATGCCCCAACCACCGGTACAGTAGTTCGCCCGCCGGCCTGCCAGCGAGCCACATCCGTGGCGAACTTCGCGTAGAAGAGCTCCACCAAATGATCCATGGTCGCCGTGCCCTCGGGTCCGGGCAATTGAGTTGAGTGTTTCTGTGCATTTTCATCAAAGTGACGACTCAGAAACGATTCTGGCCCAGCCCACTCACTTGCTTGTAAAATGAAGCCAACCCAAGCATGCTGCCGTGCTTTGGTGCTGGTCCGATTCTTGTAAGCTGGTCCCCCACAAGAGCCACTCCCATTTAAGCGCGCCTTGTCGCCAGCCTGCAGGGAAGCCTGGCTCCGAAACATGACGACGTCTTTCACATCCATTTCACCGGGGCCCTTCTCAGGTCATTCTGTCTCCGTCTCCGTCCAACCGCGGTGCCCTACTGGGGCTTTGGGGTCACCCGTGATTCAAGAACTGACCCACCGTGCATTTGGGGAGCTTGGCATCGGCCCCTTTCCACACTCCCCCCCGAGTCTTCCTTTCATCTTCGTCACGCGACTTCACGCTCAACTCGAAGATCTCAGGTGAAATCAAACACCCAAAATCCCTATTTAAAAAACATCCTTTGGCCAACAACCACTTGTTATGCTTCACATGGGCCGATAACTATAGCCAGCAGCGATGCTTTCCTCACCTTCAGCGCGTCGAAGGCTCGAAGCACATAAGTCTGGCACCTCGGCCGGTCCGTCGTTCGGTGTGGAGGACGGTCAAAATGGGCGGGCAAAATGGGCGTGAAACTCCTGTTTCTTTTTGCCCACCCCGCTGGGTGCTCCACATGGAGCGCTGCAAATCGGCATGCGCGGCAGTCCTTCCAGGCGACACACGCTCTTTGTTGGTTCGAACGACGACGTCGAATGCGCTCGAAACAGCAAAAAAACGGTGAAGGCCGTGCTTTCCCGTCGGCGACGTTTCGTGATCACTCGGTGGGGTGACATTTTAGGCGCCGAAAGACATGGATCCTAGGGCGCTGTTCAGCACCTCAATTGAGTGACTTGGACTCATCAAGGAGCTCCTGTATCCGGCAGCCAAGTGTAGAGACACCTGCCGGAAAATCAGGAACAAACAACTGAAGGAAAAAGTAAAAAACACCATCAAGGACGAGCAAACCACGAACCAAATCTACTGGGTCCATGTCACCAAAATGACACTTCCCTTGGTTGTTCGGTCAGATTCGGTTGGCCTGTCGGCTCATCTGCTGGTAGGACTCGAGTTGAGCGGGGAGAAAGCCATGCTTCATCAACGAGTGGTCCATTCCTGTAGACAGTTTTGCTGAGACTCTCTGTGTCCAAAAAGAGCCATGAACGAAAAACAGCACGGAACCAGAACACCAAATGAAAGCAAGAACACCAAAAACGCTTTCCAGGTGGAAGTGGGTCCTTTCCAATGAGGAAGTGGGTCCTTGCCGAGTGCCTTTTTGCTCAATCAATCTAAGACTTACCGTGCTTTGTTGTCAACACACACACACACACCTCATGTCAGTCAACATATGGTGGGGGTAGGCGGGGGCAGGCCCCCCCACAAACACAGGTTCCATACAGTTCCATCCTCTGCGATTGGCATCTTTTCCGCGCCCCATCGCGGTGCAGCTATGGTATTGACGACCCTCAGCTGCAAAATCTACACAAATTTTTTGGCTACCTCACGATTCTCCAAGCCATGGTCATAGATCCACCTTGGCTATCTATGGTGATATGATAAATGACCGATGAACTTCATTAAGCAAGTCCGCCAATATTTAATAGTGCAACTCATAGCATTTGATCCAACGGAATCCACAAAGTGCTAATTGCAGTCTGAGTGCTTCTTGCGGGCCTCCATTGCTTTGTTCCTCTTCTCCTCACCAGTGCCATCTGTGAGCTTCCATGCGACAGAGTAGACCTAGGCGATGGAAGGAGAGTCGAATTTGGGATCAAACAAAAGTGCGTGAAACAAGAGTCATAAAACAGCTGTCAAGTAGTATGGGGTTCATGTTGTCAAGTTGCTGAGTGCAACTTCTTCTTCAAAATAGTGTCATTGCTATAGTCCTCAGCTGCCTCCGTAGGTTTGGAGGAGGAGGACTTGTGCTTTGCTGTTGCATGTTTTGGTGCTGCTTTGGCTTTGGCCTTTGTTTTGGCCTTGGGGGTTGGCTTGGCCTTGGCCATGGCCGAGTGCGCCGATGTTGATGCGACTCTGCCCGATGCATTGGGTGCTGCTGTAAGCTCAGCATGCTGCTTTGGCTGCGCTGGACTGGAGTCCGGTGTGTCTTCATCTGGTTGCGTTGGTGTAATGGCCGAGTCATTGTCAGAAGAAACAACTGTTTGATCTTGTTCGTGCGGTTGTTCTTGCGAGTTTGGTGCTGCAACTTCTTGAACTACCATAGGCTCAGATTCATCCCCTGCTGGGTTCTCAGGGATGTTACAAGCATGCTCATGTCGATCATCTCCAGGCCCATTTGCAAGGTCTCCGCCCAAGGGTGCAGCTGCTGCCTCAATTGCCAAAGCAGCCTGATAGGCTTCCTCTTCCTTTGGAGTGAAGCTGTAGCTGTGGGTGTCCATGTGGTTCTGTATTGCCACAAGGGCATTGTTGATAGATCCAATCGTCATGGCCACAGCTTCCGATGAAACCAACCCACAGGAATGAGCAGTGGCAGCAGCATCCAAGCTTTGCTCCGCATGTTCTGAGAAAGCCTTGAGGTCTCCGGCAAACTTTCCAACATCAGGAAACTCCATATTTTCCTTGGATGGATAGTGCAAACACGTGCACCTAGTAGCAAACACATTAAAGTACACTTAAACCAACGATGTGTTTCCAAAATTGTCATTTTTGCATAATGCAAACATTTGGACTAATGTATGGATTGTTGCGGACTTGTGGAGAATAAGAAGTTCACCCCCACATTGGTCTTGTTGGGTACTATCTTTAGTTTAATCACTGTGGAGTTCCTGTGTTTGCAATCGAAAGGGAGTATATATGATTTGTGTGACACAGTTGCCGACACTTCAGCATTGCAGCCATGATGCTCCTATCTCAGGAAAGAGATCTCGAGCCAGACTGGAAATGCTGGTGGGATCTTCAATGGATAGCTCCTCAGTCGCATACGGGTATCAGGGTTCATTTGGGGGGGACAGAATCTTGCCTACAATTATTGTGATCCAATGTGAGCCAACTACTGTATACCCTTTTCCTAGAGTCCAGCCGAGAAACGGGGATTGGATTGGTGACATCCTCCGGGCGGTGCTTCTCCAGTCCTGAAGGTCTCAAAAGGTGGGTTGAATCTTCAGCTCACACATTATGAACGCATATGAACGCATCCGCATATCCCAAAAGGTTGTTCTCGCTGTTTGCAAAATTATCCCAAAGAAACTGTGAAATTTCAATCACGCCAAGGGCAAGTGCGTGTCTGTCCTTCGTAAGCGTAAGCCTTGTTCCAAGGAGAAATCTCTAATCCAAGCTGGTTCTCCGGGAACTCGAGAATGTTCATCATAGTATTTCCACTCCTGAGGTCCATTGATGGTTGGATCAAAGGACAAGTTGAACTTAGACTGACATGGCCTGGAATTACTTGAAAGGGCTATCGGCGGTTCTTAATTCTTTCAAGTGTCTGAACGTCGCCGCTGTTGTGTTGCAATGCAATCTCGAACCCAAACGGAGTAGGATGAGTAGGCTGATCCTGGATTGAACGAAACCACATTGAATACTTAACCCAGAACATTTGCCAAATTGTTTTGAACTGAGTCTGGCATTTGTATCACACCATATCACGCATATCATGCTCACCTTGTCCTCGCTGGTGATGAAGTCGCCATGCTTGCGAGGCTTGGTGGACGGCTTCTTCTTGGCACTGTTGCACGCAGGACGCTTTCGGGGATTCGGGGCAGGTCTTGAACTATCCAAGCCATCATCGTTCCCTCCACTGCCCTGACTATCAGGATCACTATCATGGTCATCCGAGTCATGTCCCCCAAGAGGTTCAAACTCATTGTCAGGTTCTTCATCCTTTTGCTTCTTGGATTTGCCGGACTTAGCTTTGGCTTTGCGTTTGGGAGCTTTTTTCTCGTTGGAGCTATCATCAGAAGCCCCAACCCGAGGAGGTAGGGCATGCCGGAGAACTCCTCCCCATGAACGAAGGAAAAAATGGATACAAACGTCACCATGACTGCATGCCATGACATAACTTTACCCAAAGTCTACCCATTGGGCGAATGTCCTGGTCGACTTGTCGGAGGATTGAATGGAGCTGCATCAGAAGCAGCTGGATCCCCAGCAGCACCCGCAGATGCTGGTGCGGACGGTGTAGGCCGATGTTCTGGTGTTGAAACATCTCTGCCAGACAGCAGTCTGTGCAGATCGAATGCCTCACTTGGAGATCTCTATGAGATAAACATGACTACTTTGATGTGTTGGATGTCCAAGTGTTGGAACTTACGCTCACTATCGGTTGATACATTTGGCACACACGAACGAAGCTTGGTGAAGCATCATGACACATAATAAAAGCCATGAATGGACCGAGAGACTGGGCGGTGGAATCCAACTGTAAGTGGAACTTCTTGGACTTCATCAGAATCGGAACCCATGGCTATGAAATCACACAAACGTACTGAAATCGGCGTTTCGGCGTTCCCCCGACAATGTACGAACCTGCTTTGCAGCCAGAAGTCATGTTTGTCATGCATGCAGTCACACACAAGTGCACTAAGTGCACTTTCTAGAAATATCAATTCGATTGACTTCAGAGTGAGGGTGAAGCAGAACGTTACCATTTTGCATCTATACCCCCATTCCATGTGCGCGACGAGTTAATGCAACGATGCCTCCTGATGTGTTCAGCGTGCTGGACAAGCAAACATTGAATGTGGAAGATATGCGAAGGTTGAATCTCCACACGATTGATAGGACCAATAATTTTAGAATAACTGCCTTTCCCAACTATCACCAAGCTTGCCCAGACACCAACACGCTGTTGCTCCGAGGCACATGGATTGCCAACAGAAGCGGCCGGCGGCAAGGCCCCAAACAGTGAGTCAAATGACAAACGATGTCAAGATCGACTCAACCCCTGCTGCGTAGAACCGCTTTAGAGTGTCCTCCCTTCCATGGCAACATCACATGGCAACATGTTGTATTCTTATGGCAACATATGGCAACTATGTTTCTTTATGACCGTAACCAACATCTTTCAACCAGCATCCATATTTCCGATTAATAATAACATTGGAAAAGAAAGGATTGACACCTACATCATCCTACACGATCCTACATCATGCGGACTGAGGTTTCACCCAAGTCCATACACTGGGTCAGGCACATGACCGGCCTCACTGGGGTAATGACTTTGACTCCCTGGTCATTGGAGGAATCCAGCCTGAGATCAAGAATCCCTCCATTTCTGAGCGTTTACTGTACACTATGTCAATTCTGCACCTCCAGGATGTCAATTCTGCATTTTTTCTGCAGCAAAGACGCCTGCACCTCCAGGCTAGGGCCAAGATCTGCGAATTTTTGACTTTGGCAATCTGCAGGTGCGATCCGAAGTTCTTGGTCGTGATGCCTGGGGTTTCTTTGGTTTCTTAGTTTTCTTAGGTACCTTCTCTTCTTTGGCCACTGGCTTGCGGGGTACTTGTACCTCGTCGGCCACAAACACCAAGGGTTTGGCATTCTTCCATTCCGCGTCCTGACTGATAGTGTGGTGGGACACCTCGATCTTGACCTTGGATGTTGTCAATGATGTTAAATGATGGCCATACATATATTTGCAGAGATGAAATTGACCATTGCAAGTCTTTATTGGATGAAGTACCAACAAGAGCTATGAGATTATAACTACATTGCTATGAGATTGAAGTACCCTCCATGTGCAGCCCCATGACTTCTCCTGCATCCTCTAGATCGTTGAGCACAGATACGAAAGAGGCGGGTGTTTCTAGGCACTCCAATCCAGAGAGGTGCTGCGGGATCGATTTCCGCTCCAGAATCATAAGGTCAGACTTTTTGACACAGAAGGACAGCCATCGTCCTTCAGCATCATCCATGACTTCCTGACCCTCCTCAGAAGAGATTGAACCAATCAAGTTGGGCAAAGGTTGTCCCCTACAGCGATTTAGTTGTTGTGAGTTACAAGAGTTTATAGATTTGGCATGATTTGGATGTGTGACCACAAGTTGGCACAGCATGTCAATGTTTATTTTCCTTTTGCATCCTTTAGTTGGCAATAAGAGATGATATAATGGTAGTCAAAGGGTTCACGCCAAGCAACAGGTCCGTCACGCCATTCTCCTGGTCCAAAGCTGAACCTCACATTAGAAAATTTGCGTATTATGTTTAACCCTGGAATAGATATAGAGGTCACTTTGCGAGTGAAGGTTCGGTTGTGGTATTTTTTGTTTCTATGTGATATGCAGTAAAGTGGCAACTCCCTGTTCTGAAGGAATTGATTCGTTCCACGAGAAACCATGTAGAGACTCTTCCCCTCCTCATCCGTGATCATGTCGCAGATGTTGTTCAGCGACAGAACTTTCCTCGAAAGGGGGGTTGATGATAACTGCATTGCATGACACGCAAAAAGGATCAAACAGGCCTGGAAAGAAAATAGCTTTTCATGACAGTCAAACCGGCCCATGAAAATCAGATAGCTAAAGGCTCGATAGTGGGACAAACGCCAATGTTTTTTGAGACATGGCACGGGTTGGCCAACTTCGAAACTTCCTCAGAGCTGCAAGACTCGATCTTGATCCGCTTTGCAGGCCGCTCCTCTGCTGTAGCTGTTTCAACCGCAGGTTCAGGAGTCCTTGGTATCTTGGCACTCGACTTAACTCCGGGACTTCAGGGTTTCGACTTAATTACCAAAGCAACTTTAAAAGATACAAACTTGCTGGGGGAATCTTGGGCGAAGGCTCTCTGCAATCCAGTAATCTCCATGTGCGTTGAACTCCTTGTTGTGCTCGTCTATCAGAGCCTTGGCCTTGTCCGAAGTGAGTTCATTATCTAACCACTTCTTTGCCAGCGCCTCAAGCACCAACAACTTGTCCAATCGTTGAGCGCTGACCCTGAACGATTTTGTCTTCTCAGACATCTGACCACTCTTCAGGGCGCTGAGCAAGGGCTGAAAGGATGGGAATGAGGGCACAGTAAGACGACCTGCCCTTGCATCCTCGTAGACAGCGTTGGCGACCCTGTGGTTCAACTCCACTCCGCTGTGGTCTAAAGTGAGAGTTGCGCAAGTAGCGACGTTACCCTCTCGGATTTCCTGCACTGAAGGTGGGGGGTAAAAGCCTGGGTGGATGTGCTACAACCAGTTCATGCATTATATTTATGCAATGAATGAATTCCATGAATTCCCCAATAATTTCCAAGTCTTGAGGTCTAACACCCAGACTTAACTTTTGTGGGGAGTTGTGAGCTTTTTAAACCAATCCAGCCTCCAAAGCTGCCAGTGCTACAAACCCATCATACCCCGCCATGTCCACCAACAATGAAGCTTTTGAAGTGGGCATAGAGAACGCTTTCAAAGTCTCTCTGACGAAACTCGTTCCAGCAGCCACCTCATGGTTTTGATTTTTTGTTGCAAAAAAGATCCAACTTAAATAAGCATCACATAATCAACATGAAATGGGACCCCCAAGCAAAACCCGACTTGTCAAATTGCAAGTAGCCTGCTTCATCTCCTGCACGTCCGTCATGGCTCGTCCCATATGAGGCAACTTCGACTTCGGAGATGCTGCCTTTGATTGGAGGAGAGATGGCCGACTGCATGGGGGGCCAGTGGAACCGCAAAGTAATACCATCTACTATTAAGTAGAAAAGTGGCTGACAACTCAAAATATTGACTTCCAGAATCATTGCTGCTGCTGTATTATATACTTTAGGCTACTGTAAATTTCTCTTTCAAGATGACAGAAAGAAACGAAATATCCCGAAAGAAAACTTCTCAAAGAAACCAAAGATCCACCTCAGGCTTGTACATTTCATTGCGGGGGCACATACGAATGCCCATCACCACCCCAGTTTTCCAGCCATGGGTTTGCCTCATGCGATTTCCTTCATTCTTGTGCGTGATCGCGATGCCTGAAATGACCCCGTCCCGTCGCCCGTAGACAGTGTCCTGGGCATCAACCAAGAGCGTCCGACATACAATCCAGATCTGTTTGAACATCCCTGAGACCCCAGACCATGAGACCGTTCCAAACAGAACATTCTGATCATCGTTAGAAAGCCAAGGGTCCGGTTCAAATACCCATGTGACATTGCGGAGCTTGAGATTGCGATCTTTCATGGCGAGTTGTTTCCTGGGTCGCCAAAACGCAGGGTTCATCCAAGTGTGGGGCTTTTCTTCTGTGGAAAACATAATTATCGCAACCACATCAAAGGGTTGTTTTTGGAGATTCTCATGAAAACATGGTAACCTTTTGAACCTTTTGAGATAAGATTCTCAAGGTTGTAGGTGACATCCCTGACCTCAACAGCCTCAGATTCCTCCTTTCTCTTACATTTTTCATCCACCTCGGACTCTGACTCTTCGGCGTCCTCATTCTTTGTCTCCTCGTCCTTCATGACCTGGTCCTTGTCTTTCTCCTGCTTCACATCAGCTTTCCTGCAACGGATGCACTCAGGGGCGACATAGTTCAGCCTTGCGAACCACCCAATCAGGTTTCAATTCTAGCGACAGTTGTAAGGATCTGGGGGCCTGGTTTTCATTGAGCAAACACACGACATTTTGTTGCATGTACCGTATTGTCAATAAACGGCAATGGAACAACCCCTGTCCTGCTGCTTTCCAGCTGTCCAGCTCTGTTAGGCTTCACCAGATAACATACTCCATTCAACTGATGATCCGCCAACGTGTTGGTGATAAAGTTGAGCAGGAAGCTGATTCTTGAAGCTGAAAGGATCCCCATAGCTGGGCAAATGCAAAAGATGACTATGGAGTGGTCATCCTTTGAGTTGCCCAGCTCAGCAGCCTGCTCCTTCAACCATGACCGGGCTGACGGCATCAGCGTCGATTCGGCATCGCTGCTCTTTCCGGCAAAGGACATGAGGTGGTCACAGCAGAAGTTGCGAACGCAATCCCAGGCCCGGGTGTGACATTCCTGGTCGACCGATGGAGTTTGATGTGATTCTGGGCCCCTGGGTTTTCATATTCTTATTAAACTCATCCCCATGTAAAAGGATACATAAGTGGATTTTGACATACATTTTGAAAGCCCAAGTCCTCGAGCTGTCGAACAAGCTTGGCGCGTGTCTTGGCACCCTCCTTTTCCATCCTTGGAGCAATGAACAAGTGTGAAACCACAACAAACATCTATCTCACCAAAGGTTGGTTAAACTCATGACATTCCTGGGGTTCTATCGATTCAACGCAAATATGTTGAACATGTTTGTTCACCACAACTGGTATGTGCTCTTCTCACTGTAGAAACTAACATTCAAAACATTGTTTAATCCTAGACCAGGTACAGGATCTTCTCGGAAAGAAATTCTGTCTGATCTGCCTTTAAATCTTCAACCCATGAGGCGAAGGCCGCTTCATGGGATCGGGCCAGTGCGTTTTTGGCCTTGTCTTGATGTTCTTGAACGTAGGTCTCAAGCGTTTTCCCGTGCGCCTGCGACAGGGGACAGGATATCACTCTTATATATTTCTTGAGGTAGTAGATAAGTTGTGAGTAGATTCAAACTACCTTTAAAATATGATTCAATTGCAGCTCAATGATATTTTGTGCGCTGATTCCTATTTAAAGCATTTTCCATAAACCAAATATTATTGAGTGGCTGAGCGCATGTTTCTTTAACTTTTCTTCTGCCCAAAGTTTCTGGTTTCTGGTATCTTGCCCAAATTTGACGATGAGAGAGCAAACACTACCCAGCCTCGAGAAGGAATGGTAGGCGATTGACATCAAAGTCCTCACCGGATCTCAGCACTGACTGCAAATCAGAGTCCAGCAACCTGCAGGTTTCAGCAAAGAGGACACAGGTCAGGGAGCAAGTGAGGAGGTTGAGTTCCTTCCAATTGACAACCGATATTAGAGAGCCGATGAAAATGAACCAATGAATCAATGTAAATAACGCAAAACATAGGATTACACATTGTCTAAAAATCTGAAAGAGCATCAAACCTAAAATTACACATTGTCTAAAAGTCTGAAAGAGCATCAAACCTAAATTGAAATTACCAAAACAATAATAAAAATGAGTCAACAAAATGCAACCGAGCGAAAATACCAAAAAACATCAAAAAACCAATGACAACCTCCACTTGAAATTCATCATCCCAGTTGTCATGGGGTTTCTGGAGAACCAAGGACAAACCCATTGGTTTTGGAGGAACCCATGATGGACTAGTCTGTCAAATTCACCAACGGACATTCCTTGAACCTTCCATATACCTTATGATTGTCCTTGGTTCTCCAGAAAACCAACGACAAATTGACGCATAAGTTTGCCCCCAGAAATGTGATCGATTCCTAGCCAAAGATTTTTGGCGGGTTAATGCGGATTGTGATCGATGTTCTGGAAAACCCACGACAGCCAGCCAAAGATTTTTGGCGACCCATGATGCCCAGCCAAATATATTTGGCGACCCATGATGCCCAGCCAAATATATTTGGCGACCCTTGATCCTCCAATGCTTATTATATTTTATTTTCTTCTATTGAAGCGCCAAGCAACCCCTGTCGGAAAAACTCGTCATGTTGGTCGATTACAGATTGGGGGAACATATCCTGCATCTTGTTCTTCACCCAAATCCAGAGCACACAACAGTCGTGGAGCAAGATCTGGCCATCAAGATCAAGCTGATTCATTTTCTGAACAGGGTTTGCCGGGCTTAGGGATGTTAACGCAACAATGCAGAACAAATCATCATTAAACTTGAACGGACCATTGGGAACAAAGTATGGAACCCGCTCCTTTGCTTTGAACGAGGCGTCTTTGGAGACTTTCCTTGCAAAGTCCTGGCCAATTTCAGGGTTGGCAGGTGGCTTTCAAAAAGACCCATTTCAAGTCAACCCAAAATTGAAACCCTATAGGAGGATTGACTTAAAGATAATTTTGGCAGTTGGTCCTGTGTCGTCCGGCTGAAAAACAGCATCACAGTTTCCGGCGTCAGCTGCATGATCTGTTGAAGCTGCTTGCTCCCGCGATAGTGATCACTCCGCACAGGTAGATTGGGCACGTAGAAATCTTTCTCCAAGATTTCGTGGGGGAGGGCTGCAACAGGGTGCGAACATAAACATGTAAGCTTTAAAAACAATCAAACTGTTGCAGGTTCAGGTTCAACACAAACTAAAGGACACTATTTTTTTACAATCCTTGCCTGCGTGTTCATGTTTGAACTGATCGTAATGTGCATGGAGCAAGGTGAGCGATTCAGCTGGGCAGCGAAGCCTGAATACGATCAAACTTGCAGAAAACCAAATTATTATGAACATTGAAAAACAATCATGGGTACAAATGTAAAAATATGAGGATTAACAATCCAAGGTTCAGGTTGTATGCCAAATTGCGCCGTGCGGTGTCCACCCGGTGTCGTTTCAGGGTGACTAGCCGGTTGAAGTCTGCGATGACTTTGTTCATGGCGTCTTTGAGAGGAATCCGGGTTCGACTGGTGGACATCGCACGTTCCAGCTCAAGAGCCTTTCCCAAATCTGACACGATGGTCAATGGGCTGGGCGTGAGCTTTTCCGCCGTAACAAATCCCATTTCTTAGATATGAGAAGCGGTTCACAGATAACATCTAATAAACATTTCCCTACACAACGATGACAACTAAGAAAAAGTAAGATTCCGTTTCAAGCAACAAGCTTCTCAATGAGTATAGGAAATGGTGTGCAGGGTGCTGAAAATGGGAGTATGAACAATGCACAGTAGCGAAGCTGTGCAATGTAGCCTCCAAGGGAGAGTCTCTCGGAACCTCAAGCTCAAGCTCCTTGACCATCGCAACAATGCTCAGCATTATTACTATTTTTGCAAATCCATCAACCAGCCCCACCGAATGTGGTGGGATGGTCCGTGTCGAGTCCCGGAACGGAAATTTCACTTCGATCGCGCCAAGATGTGGCTTGTATCCGTAGCGTAAGAACTCCCCAAAGTGCTTCTTGAACTGCTGGTTGCTCGGATAAACTTCAGGGAGCAAAATTGTAACACCAAACATGATTGGGGCGGAACACTTTATGTTAAGCAGGAAACTTAGCGTATTGAAAACAACTTTCATAACCCTGGACATCCACTCTTCGCAGAAGGGCTGTAGTCGAAGCGATCCAAAGCCAGCCAAAAGCTGTGGTCAGAGGCATTGGGAATCAACTGGGTGTGAGCCTTTGTCTGTGGGACGATTGCATGTCTCATTACAAGCTCATCGATGGCCTCCGCAGCTACCAGACATGCTTCCCAAATGCAACATGTTCTCCAAATGATTCACTGTGGACTCAGCTAAACAACCATGCCTCACTCATCCTGGCAGGCTCGGGAAATCTCGATTGCAAATAGTCCCCCAAGTTCTTGACAGCCACAACCTGAAAACGTATAACCCCGCAGGAGTGCAAATCGACCGTTCCGGGCAAACAGCAGTTTAAGCATCCGAGAAACACTTTCAAAGAGGGCCATGATCTTGTCAAAAACATCATCACCACCCGAATCGGCTTGCGTGTCCATTTCCAACATGAGGCACCAACTAGCTGAAACTACCCCTGTGAAAGTTCAGCAAAACCTAGCAGCATAAATACGACAAACAATTCCACTTTACCCGGATCAGTGTCAAGTTGAATGGATTGGTGCACAGCAAAGAGAAACACATTAAATCATTTTGGCCGCCATTTACCCCATTTAGCGTGCCCTGTGGAAAACCACCTGCAGCTCATGTGGCTTCGGAGCCGGTGGGTTGCCCCGCAACTGAAACGCATGCCAGTCCTGTTGACGGGCAGATGCATGCCTCAAAAACGACAATTGAGGAACCCGATCAAATTGTGGCGTTGCCTCTGGAGTGACGAGAAGCTGCTCATACCACCCCGCCGCCCTGGCAAGGTGCGGGAAGTCAAATTGGATGGCACGTCTAAGGGCGCGCAGCTCATCCCATCTTTCAGCCTGAATTTTCCATGATCGCAATGGGCACCTTGCACTGTTTGCATCCAAAAAGCACTGCTGGGTCGAAGGCAAAAGGCTTGCTGGAAACACTAGCAATGGTATTTGTGACAATGATCTTGCTGCCATCGACTCCTTCACCAAGCAAAAAACATCATCTGGAGACCTCCCATGGTCAGGAGCCCTCATATCACGAGGGACACGCTGTGAAAGTTCAAGCCCTTGCCCTTGATCAGGAAGCCCTGTTCGTGGTACAAAGGTGAACGTTTGGGGAAGTGGCTTCCGAGGATCCTCATCATCATCATGGCCATACTTGAGTTTCCGGGCACGGAAAGCATTTCGAAAGGTAACCCGGTCTGGCACAAAGGAAACCCAATCTCTGACCTTAAGATGGCCGGCCAAACAAATTGTAAAGCAAGTTTCATGTTCCCAGTTGGTCCCAAAAATAAAAATACAATTTGCATCAATTTGCAAAATTGGAGTGTGTCAAGACACAGTATCCATGATCTCAATGCCCCAAGCTAGATTTTTTGCAGCGAAAATTGGAGACATTCGGGCATCTATCAACCTCTGCAAATCCCTGGGTGTTTGCAAGGAGCTTGCTGGCGCTGATCGTATAGCTGAGGTCACTATGCTGAACAGGGCATCTATATCTTCGTGAGTGTGACCCACCCGAAGGTGGGCTTCAGTGCAGGATGCAAAGTAGCTTCCCTGGGCCAATGCAGATAGTACGCGGGATCCATATTGATTCCGGAATTCCTTTACGGTGTTGTCACACTGTAGCCAGAACCTTGTCATGTCCGGGAGGCTTCCAAAAGTTTGGATATTTCGATACTAATAGCGCTTCCCAAAGTAGCACCAAATAAGCAACGATTACGAAAGGGAAGCCTAGCTACTCTGCAGGAAATGGAGAGCTCTTGGCTCTGGTCCTGACCCACACCTTTTCCAATGATCGCATCACCTCAGAATACAAAATATAGTCTATTTTTGAACCATGTGTCTGACTAGCAGTATTCCTGGATTTTATGCCAGTTGGTACAATCTTAAGCCAGGCTTGAAGACAAGGCGCACATTCCCAATTCCAACTTGAGCCGCACCCAATTCCCTCAGCGGCAGCCAAATACATCCAACAGCCCTGCCCATGGCACAAGACTGCCGTCAATGTGAGCGACACTCCTAAGTTGAACGATGCGCTATCACACCAAATAGTGAAGAGTACACCACATATAAACCTCAACCCATAGTACAAAGAAAATGTTGCTCAAATTGCGCATAAAGTAATTGTCAAGTGTCTCAAGCATGTTTGGTACACTGGCCGCTTTGGCACCCTGTTGTATGGGAACTTCGGTAGGTACAGCTTGGATCTGTCAAAGGAGTCAACAATGCATGTCAGAAGGTCACCAACCTGGGAACTCCGATCTCTAGCGGACCAGTACACTTCACGGTCGCGCCACTGTGCCGTGTAGTGGGCCAGCAGCTCTTGGCACTTCTGGGCATGCAATGCGAAATCCTTGATTAAGGCTGTGGGAGTGACTGCAAATCCCAAACATTGGCTGAAGGTATATCCACTTCAAATGTCAAACAAACTCATGTACCACAAAATGTTCTAAATCTAAATGCGCAGTGTCTGTTGCATCATGGATTGAAGCTTTCAGGGTTTGGCACACTACGCACATAGAATGCTCTGATTGCCGCCTGAAGCGAAGACAAACCCGCCACTCTTTGGCAACTTCGTAAAATGTTGATTTAGAAGCGGGTGCAACTCCAGATGGTCGCATGTAGGCCAGGTACATCAAAAACAATGAAGATGTGTTGCCGGGGGGGAGTTCACGTAATGGTAATGAGTCTGGCTTCAGCTCCATGACTTGACGACTTGGACCCAAGAGCTTGTGTTCAATCAACTTCTTCAACATTTCTTCACGAAGGTGTTCATCGCTTTGCGATAGTGCTGTTGCGCCTGATGATTGAAACCTTCACACAGCAATGCTGTGAGTTTGAAAAGGTACACTGTACACCAAAACAAGGAAAAACAACTAGGGGGAAAAATAGGGGAGAACGTCCCATGTCCCAACTTGAAGCCAATAAACTGAACCGGCATAGATTCTGCAGCTGTCCACCAGATATGACTGAAGAAGCCGTGAACAGATGTGCTTTGGTGCGACCGCCCTGCATTTCCACCTTAGTTGTGAAACGACCTACCACCCAAAGAAGAACATTCAGGGGGATAGCTGAATATCACCAAACTTCAAAGCAACACCATTCAATAAAGTTCCACTAAGACGCTTGGAACCAATGTTCGGTCGTCAACACCGCGGAATCGTTTCTTGGTTCTTTGTAAACGCTGTTTGCCGATGCCCATAAATTTCAGCCAGGTTGATCTACAGACTGGATATCCTGCCAGAGTTTGGATAATTAAGGGCGACAGCGGCCATTTTTTTGAACACAGAAAGATAGAAAGTAGTTGTTGGTTCAACATTGTTCAGCCAACCCTGTCCTTCGATGCTAAACTTGTTTTTGTGACCCCTACCTGCTTCAATCTGTAGTGACCAAAGGAAGGCATCTTGTGCCTCTTTGGGAAGACCCCAAAACGAAGCACATACTTTGGCAATGACCTTGAACGGTATTGCGCAGCCGCAGGAGCACCCCGGGTTCTCGACAAGCTTCCGCAACCTGCTACCATCCTGCCCATTCAAAGCATAGGAAGATGCATCAGCTGTTTCTCCCTTGGCATGCAGCACTTGAAGCGCCCCTAGCTTCACTGCAACCTCTCCACTTCCAGATTGTTCAGAGGTGGAAGTTGAGCTGGACTCTGAATCTGAATTTGATTCACCCCTTAGATTATTGGGAGCGTTGGGAGGCTACCATCCAGAAACAAAGGAAAGGAACCTGCAGTAATAACAAAAAATGTTTTAACAAGTTTCAAGTTACGAAGAGTCCGAAGGAGAACCCCCTTGAGAATCAGAGGAGTCATCGTAACGCCAAACCCGCCCTCTTGCAGCAGGCACCAGCTGATCTGTGGCATCATCATAGCGCCCCAAGATGCCCATTGCGCATCCCGGCTGATTGGCTGAGGGTGTGGAACTAGCTTTAACCACCGACCCTAGTGTTTGGTTTGCGTGACCCTAGGCTACATTCATCCGAGTTGGAGGCAATGTTGTTGGACAATAAGCTGTGGTTGCATTGAACGCTTCATCTCAGCCACAACTTGACAGAATAGTTTTCAACTAGACACGGTTCAAACTCCCACTAAACCAACCTACAAAAACCCGGTCCTCATTTATCTATTTCGCTTCAAGTTCAGGAAAACAAGGCAGCTTTTTTCACACAGTGGCACGAGGACAGAGGTTTGTTGCCAGCGCTTAATTGTTGCATGGTTCGCTAATTTCAAGCCAAGTATTCTTGTAGTTTCTCAGGGTCCAGGGACCGCAACACGATTGCAAGGGCAACGAACAGCACATGGACGGACATGCTGTTGCCACCCAACCGCATCAAGTCCTGCAGGCTTTTTGCTGCCAAATCAGCGGCAATGTGGAACCACAGAAAATGCAGCAACTTGCGACAACAGAAAACAGATTCTTTCCCATAAGATTAGACAGACTAGAGTCTTTGGAAGAGAAGTCGTTCAATTCCAACTCATTGATGCGGATGCCCATAAGAAGCAGGCATTCAGCTCCTCGGTGCAGTTGTTTGATTTGACTTCTAACCTCTATCTATTTGTAGCTACATTGGCAAAGATGGCAAACCATAACCACGAGTTTCCCCAGCCGAGTTTCCCGTGAGAAATCGCTGCTGGTCCGCGATGAGGTATGTACCACCAGGCCTCAACCAAGCGATTTTGGAGAACAAAGGCCCGGGACATTGATCAGGACATATCAGGACATTGAATGATACAATGTGGTAGAACATATGCAATGGCTAGGGGTCTGACGTCAGTGTCATAAGCGGAGAGTTCCCATAAACAGCAGGCATCCGATGGATGCTTTGACTCGTATTGATGGCCTCAAACTTTCCCTTGTGGGCAAACACCAGCTCCGCTGCCTGCGTACAAGCTGGCTACCACTCACAACATCTCTGTCTATCTAAGATCATGAGATACTCAACAGCACACAAGATGTGTGACAGGAACAATTGATGATACCCCACCACACCTGCAACTCCCGCTTCGATGTGATTTGATCCGCCGCGTGCGGAAAGGTGGAAGCAAAAGACCTCGCAGCCTTCTTCATATTCACCTGAGCGGATGTTCGTTCGCAGCAGTGGGTTGATGTATGGAAAAAACACAATATTCCGTAAGGTGTGTGACCCCAGCCAAGATACCCGTTTCTCTTTGGCCCAATCACGGTGCAGCTGTGGCCATTTGAATAGTTTCATCGGTTTCTTCCTGGGTTTGATGGTGTTGGTAAGAAAGTTGGTAAGAAGGGTCGGAAGGAGAAAAAGCAGCAGGCTAGAAAATGAATCACAAGACTCTCAATCACCATCTCCCCACTGTGCCAAGAAACTGTCCCGCGTGTTTGTTTCGGACTCCTGGGCACTTCTTCAAATTCTTCTGCACATACCAGTGGTCTCGTGGGAACAAAAGGTCTTGCCTAAGTTGGCAACTGTGTGTGATTGGTTTTCACAACCTTCTGCAAGAATGCGAAGCAAATTTGATTTGGCAGACAAGCTGCCAACGCACATCACATGGTTTCTGGACAGCTGAACAAACTGTGCTTGCAAAGCCCCCCAAATCTCCCAGCGACAAGGACTTCATTACCAGGATAATGTACACCCTGGGTCTTGCAATGGGGCATCCGTAGTTTTGCCTTGGATCATTCCATTCTATCGTTGCCTTTCTTACAGTAGGCACTCACCAAAGGTTGAAATCCGAGCAGCGGATCAAGATCCACAACATGTGCTTGGTACCTGGTGGAAAGATATATCAGCAGGCTAGGGTAGATTTGATCATGATCATCTAGAGCACCCTTGAAATCTAGAGTCCGAGGGTCTGTTTCAACTTCTCTTGGATCGCGCTCAGAAGTGTATCGATGACACACTTGAATCCCTCAACGTTCTCGAGCAACGCTGCCTCATTAAGCTAAACATGATTTGGCTAGTGATGTTCTCCTTGCAAAAGGTAATCAAAAAAATTGCCAAGAGACGGCAGGTTTGATTTGTTGAATGTGATGGAGAACTTGCCACATCTGAGCTGCGTTGGCATCGTCCAATAACAGTCGCCCACCCAGAAGGGAGTATGGCGTGCAGGGGAAGCCTGCAGCATAGATTCCCACCTGCCAGATACCATTGCTTCATTACAGATTGGTTGGGGTATGATTAAAGCATTGAACTTCTGTAAAGTATATGCTCGCCTTTTTCTTCAAAGGCCCACAACGAAGATGGAACATGTCTTCAGTTGTCCTGGACCGCAACTTCATGATACTTTCAGTGCTGTGAGAGTTGGTTGCAACATGTTGCCCAACATGTTGCAACAATGTTCAATCAAGGTGCTGCATAGGTGGCGTGTGGTTCACATTGAGGAAGCGCCGAGCTGTTGCATCCATTTCGCTGTTAGACCTGATTATCGATTGGGTTGGGCAAAGTTAATATGAGCGATCAACTGACAATCACACAATGAAACTCATCATCAAATAATTGGAGCAAGCCCAACCTATATTGGTCGAGCTGCAAGTACTTCACCTTGCACTTTGGCCCCAAAAGCTGCTGCAAGGCAAATAAGGGCGCATCCAACCCGCTGCCTGGGTTGGGGAGTGGGCCGGCAAACGGTTGATTCTTATTGAAAAGACACATTGAGAAAAGTGTTTTTGAGTAAGTTCAGCTTGGCTGCAATCGCTAGCATAGCCCAAGGGTCCATTGAAGGTTTGAAGAAATGCATCCAAACCTCATTGGATAACCAGGTGCCATGAAAGATTGTAAATTGCAACATCCCAACATGGAATTCCGGGTTTGTTGACTTGTGCTGGCAAGGCACCAGCAGCATCTCTAAAGTAGGATGCGCGTCCCACATAGTCGGCTTGTAGAGGAGTAAGAAGGAACTTCTCCAGGTCCACCTGTATGGGTCCAAGAAACAAAACTGATCGGGAAACCACAAAATCCAAATGCGATTCTCTTGGGTGCCTCAACCTCTGAATCGGAGACTTCCCTCCAAACCGGCATGGCGCACAAAAAGACGCCGGGACTGGGCAAAACGTGGGCTGCAGGATGATGGCAACCAAAGCCCCAGTTGCAGTTTGGAAAAGACCCGGTTGCAGTTGGACTTCCATCAAAGTAATACTAATATCTGTTATATAAGCATCCTTTTGCAAATAGACATTAAACATCATTAAACGCTATATAGAGCTCTAAATATCGTGGAATTACCGGTGTACCTAGGACCGACTTGACTTTGATAAAACCAGGCTCCAAATGCTGAACTCTCTGAGCTGTCTGAGGTCCTAACGTCGGTTGCTCTCCAAAACCTCTTCAAACAATCGCAACTGGAGTGCCTCGAAACCAACAGCCACCAACGAGAACGACGTTCATCGTTGCTGCGTTCGAACTGTTCTCAGAGTCTTTTTCAAGAACCGGGAAACGGATGATGAATATGTGTTCTGTTCAGCAACATTCAGTGACTATATAGATCTTATTTCTAGCCCAAAGGAGTGGCATCTCACTGATTCACGCCCCTAAGGCGACGTAAGGGCTAAGGACTGGACATCCTTCCCACGTGGAAGCTGAAGTTTGCTGGCATCCATTTCCAGCAAGTGAATCTCTTCTTCCGGTGTCTTGATGGCCTCACCTCGTTTCGAAGCCCCCTCTGCCAGCACTTGCCCAGCCGCAGCTCGCGGATCTCGGGTTTTCTCCTCCTCAGCCGCGGTCGGAGCGTCCTTCTCCTCCTTTCGCTTGCCCTCCATCAGCAGCGCCACGAAGTCCGCCGACGCCTCCGCCTCCTCCGCCGCGTCCGCGCCCAGTCCCGCGCCCTCCGAGAAGCTGACGGCGAACTCGTGGGCGCGGTCGCGGTGGAGGCTCCGCTGCAGCGACAAGGAACTCAGAGAGGTCAGGGCGATGCGAGCCAACTCGGCCTCGGTGCAGCCAACTTGGGAGAAAAATGGGAGGCCAAGAGTTCAGTGTGGAAACTTGGATGGCCCATGAGTTGGTTTTCAGATCAAGGGCGCATATGTTTATCAAATGCAACCATGATCAACCATGCCTTCTGCAACACCTCAAAAGAACTTGATCCAATAGAAAAGAACAAAATAAAAAGAAGAGTACGTCGTATCATCGTATCATATACACGATATTTTGTCAGCTTGTCAGTGAGAGATTCTTGTCACTAAAATGGTATCCTATTAGTTTTCTCCTCCCCCTCTCGCTCCCGCCTGGCTGTTGATGCGTGTGGCCAGCAGGGCAGGTGCAGGTACATGACCCGCAGGCTCCCGTTGACTGGGAAGTCCAAAATATTCTTCGAGACGCTTGCCTGACCGCTTTTTAGGCCCTAACCCGAGGAGAAAGAACAAAAACAAGAGAGCTGCAACATGCTGCTTTTCAGAGTTCATCCGAGTTCCATATGGTTCCCAGGTCTGCATTCGCAAGACGTGTCCAGTCATCCCACATGGGAGAAAAAAACGACACGCACATGGGAGTCACAGTATGTCACAGTGAACTGGGCGTCCTCTTTGCGTCCTCCGGTGAGGCGCACCCAGGCAGGGCAGGTCCGGTCCCACGATGTCCAGAGACAAAACGGTCGACGTCCCACGAGTCCGTCGTAAAGAATCGCGAGTATCGCTGTTGGTGTTTTTCAGGTGACTCTCAACGTATGTTCAGTTGCGAGTTGCAGGTGGCTTCAGCTTCTCCGCTGAGGATCGCATCTGCATCGTAGATCGCTTCTGCTGACAATGCATCTCCTGGAGACGTCCACACCTGAAGAGGCAGCTATGACTCGTCTTTCGGCTGGAAAAAGAAGGCAAGCAAAAACAAACATGTTTTTTGGGGCGTGGGAACAAACTCAAAAACACCAACAACCAACAAACCATGAAAAGAATGTCTCACAAGACTTCTAGAATCCTACCCACGGGTTGTAAGAAGCATTTGACAGAGTGCAAAGCAGCTAGTCTCAGCCATGTATGCTGTATGCTTATTGTGAACAACTCATTGATGTGTACAAAGCCCCTTCCAAAAACAGAGACACGGACATGACACACATAATTAAGGTTTGTCCATATGGGGGTTGTTCAAAATTATGGTTCCCAAAAATTGTTCTTTCGCCGCGCTTTCGCGGATCTTTCGCATCCTTTCGCCCCCAATGTAAAATGTATTAGGATATATGATATTATTTTCGTTATTTTGTTTTCGGTGGAGGATCTGAGTAGAGCCACAAAAGTTCATCCATCGTATATGCAACAATAAATGTGCCGCTGCTACTTACTACTTTGGGGAGTGTGGATTGTGGATTCTGGATAACTTTGGTTTTTGGTTCCCGTTATTCCAAGGGCGCTCGGTAAACATAACTTCAAAAGCTAGAATGTCACTCGTCCACTAAAAACATTACACGGGTTTTAGAACGACTCCCATATATAGGTTGGTCAAACGAAAAGAGACCGATTCAGGAGATGTGCATTCCACCTTGACACACTTATAGGACCCATGCATATAGCCCCACCCCAGTTGGCGCGTGCCCCCCGTTCCCACGCCACGTTCCACCTGCTTTGGCTCGGCCTTCCGCGCGCGCTTCTGGGCGCGAGCGGAGTCGGCCGCTTCGGGACCCTCGACGCTGCAAATCTGCTTGATCTTGGCTTGTGTGGTCAGGTCCTCCAACGAGCCTGTCGGGATCACGATGCTCCTTTTTGGAAGGATCAGGAGCGCCAAGCTGGCAGGCTCCGCCCCCAGCGAGCGCGACATGGCCCAAATGTCTCGCGCCTTTTGTTTTCAGATTCAAGATCATAGCATATGGCATGAGAAAAAAGACACCTCCAAAAACCGCCCCAAAAACCGGTGAAAAAGCCAAACGCGCCAAACCAGCGGTTTTGGCCTTTGCGCTGCAGGGAGTCCAGTAGCTCCATGAGCTCCAGATGCCACTCGGAGGTGAGTTGTGACGCCAGGAGCACCTGGACCTCCTCCGTCACCAAGTTCTGCACCTGTGAGGGATCGTCGGTGGAGCGTCAAGGGGGCGTACGAAACGGTGAGTGAGTGTGAGTCACCTGAGACCTGCGTGGAAAACAAGGACGTCTACAATGCTACATACAAGTCCCACAGTTTCCAATGACTCATGATTCACTACTTCAATTGGGAGATAAAATGAGTCATTAGGACTTCCAGCGCACCAGCGCAAGCAATGCAAGACTTCCACATAAGGAAGGAGTTTAAGGACATGTTTAAAGTGATTCTCCTTCCGTGCCTAGTTACGAGGCGATGTCGTTGACTCGTACCTATGCGCATCGATCAGTGATCCTTTAGACCTGCTGGCACAACTCCGGACCCCAACGTTGCGCATGCGTGGACCGTGTGGACACCCGGCCCGGACCGGCCCACCAACCTCCGCAAAGCTCTGATCTCCGAGGACATCTTTTCGCTGCTGCAGAATCTTCTTGAAGATATCCACTGCCGGTGCCAGCATGGCAGGGCGTTGTCTGGCCACAGATCCAAGCACTCGCATGAGAAACGGAGCTTTGGCCTTTCCTGCATCATTGTACCCCGAAATGGATTGCTGCAGCAACTGCAGTAGTAGCTCATAGAGCTGTTCTGCTTGTTGTTGAAGCACCACAGTGTCGATGAAAGCAGATCCCCTCGTCACATGCGAAGGTAAATCTTGGATGCAACTCACACCCCGCAGCTCCATCGGCACCCGTTGCACATGCCACAGGAGCGGCGCTGGAGTTTGCGACAGGATCACCATCTGAGCCCATCCGGAGGCTGCTGCCAATAGAACTGGATGGTCCGAGTACAAGAGAACCCGAGCCTCCAAGGCTCGACTCGCTCCACGAATCGGCGAAAATTCACCAAGAGCCGTTTCAATGAACGCATGAGCCGTTTCAATGTCCTAACTCCGAACATTGTCCTAACAGCCGTTTGTCCGTTCCAACGTTCAGCTGCAACATGCTGCAACGCTTCGACATTTTCCGACGGGTCGTTCTTCCCTCCGACTGTCCTGTCGTCGATTTCGTGCATCGGTATGATCCTGCGGTCCCTTAAAGGCCAATTCAGTATTTTTTCGAGAAACACGTCATGCTGATTGTGCTAGTGAATGGTATAGGTACCTTTGGGCAGTGAACCTAGGCCATGACGGAGCGTTTGGGATTTACGAAGAACAAATGCATCTACACGGAAAACCGGGCGAAGCGCTTTGCGGCCGCTTTCGCCCATGCCTTCTCCTGCAAGCGGCGCAACTGCTCAGCCAATTGCTGACCTTCAGAGGGATCTTGCTCCTGCACATGCGTTGCTAAGGTCACTGACACACAAAATAGTTGTCCTCAGCTTTGAGGTCGTATGAGTTCAGCAAAAGCATCTCGAGCAAATTGCCGAATGCTGAATCTGAATTGTTTAATCGTTCAATCTGCTCTGCTTTAGAAATCCCCTTGTTTGAGATTTCGAGTGCGTTGGTTCGATTTGGTGTCCTTGCGTTCGAAAACTGGAGAGACGCGACACCGGAAAACGTAAACCGCCAAAAGTGATGGTGAATGATCAGGGACTGACGAGCCGTCGCCCCCACCGCTCGCCACAAGGCTTGCGGTCGCGCCTTGGAAATCGCATGCAAAGCCCTGCTGTGATGAACTGCTGCAGCTTTCAGTGCCAATTCCTTGACCTCGGAAGATGCCGAAATCCGGAACCTTCCGATGCCAATGGCAATGGTCCATGTTCTTGGTCTTTAGTGCCCACTTGTGTTGTGGAAAGGAAAAGATAGCAAGCTCGGTCTTCAGCTCAAGTACTTCCCTTCACAGAGGAGAATGTTCTGAAAAAAGGCATTCCATCACCATGAACACCCAAGACTCGATCCTGACGACCCTCTCCCACCTGCTTTCGGAGTCAAAACGCACCAAGAGCTGATCCAACGAAGTAGCTTCAAAGACTCACTGCCTGCCTTGGGAAATCTTGGGAACGAACCTGGTTCGGCCCAATTGCTCAACTTGTTTGAATCATCTTGAAGAACCATCATCCTCCCAACCCACCGAAACTCCTCCATCTTCCCCACCCACCACAGGACGGCCCGGTGGACCGTTCGGGCCGAAGGGGCCAGGAGGTCGCTGTCGGCCAGGAGAGCGGCAATGGCCAAGGTGCAGCGCAAGCACAAGCTCGGCCTCGGTTCCGCTCGGCCGGAAGCTTTCGCGAGCACGAGAAAGGCAGAAGTTCGCTCGCTCGGTCCGTGCGGGGAGGCCTATGGGGTCGCGGTGGAGTCCACTCAGAGGGATGGGATGGAAGATGGATTCAAGAAGAGGACAAGAAACCATGAGTGTTTTCAACAAAGCTTAATTCACTTTTTTTACACCTAGTTTCTGGTTGAGTGGGGTGTCCCATACATGTCGCCGTTTGAAACCCGCCCCAAGAGTCAGAGGGTGTCCTCTATAGCTTATCCACGTAGAACACGGGGATTTGCCGGAAGACTGGAACAGGCCGGAGATCTGCCGTTGAACTTAGGGGACGAAGGATTGTCGGGGACAGTGTAGAGATCAGTGGCCACATCTGTGGCAAGACCTTGGCTTGCTTTGCTTTAAGACCTTTGCGGTCTTGGCTGAAAAGACTCATGTGGCCTATTTAATGTAGCCTGTTGACTCATTAGAACCCATATCAAGAGGGTTTCCAATTCACACGGGGTTGCTGAAACGCTGGATTCTTCTGCAACTCAAGCAGAAGGAGAGAACGGGCACGCAAACTTGCATCGTATATTTTGGGAATGTGCAAATAGTCCTATCCCGTCCAAATCATGCCTCTGCCGGTTTGCAGTGACGTAAGCTCCGGTCGGTGAGGTGTCAAGTTTGAAGGACGAAAAGAGTAACTTGGACAGCAATTTCTACTCAACTGGGCGCTTTCAGAACCTGAAACCTCTCCACCGCACGCGGTTCCGCGCGCGGCGCGTGGCCGCGCGCGGCAAGGCCGCCTTTCTCTTGGTGCTTTCGAGCGGCTTGGACAGCAGCAAGCGCTCGAGGAAGTAGGCGGCGAAGCGACGGAGGGGCGCGGAGGGATCCGCTTGAAGGTTCAGGAAGAACTCTAAGCCTCGGGCGAAGGAAGATGGGTTCGAAGGCCGAAGCGGCTGCAAAAGGGCAAAGATGAGATGGAAAAAGAAGTAAAAGAAGGGGAGGTCCTGCAAGGGAGATTAGAGCAAAAATGAAAGTGGGATGTGTGGTGTGTTGCTTCTGGTTTCTTCTGAAAAAAGACAAATTACAATAAAAAATACAAAAAGAACAACATGAAACAGTGTCTCTGATGATCAAATCTTCTCTTTGACATTCTCGGGCTATACCCTGACGATGTCACTCTGAGATCCTCGCACGTGGCAACCGTCTCGGGATAGGTATCAGCCTCTCCACAGCTACCAGCTCACCCGTTCCGCTCGAAGACCATGAGCATCAGGAAAGCTCTTGATCATGAACAAGGTTTTGTATACCATGGATGTTTTGACATCAAACATGATGACACACTCTCCCTGAAACAATCATGGAAGTGGAACACCCCCCTACAGTGGAGGAAAAACCGTCTTCCAAAGCCTTCCAAAGGGCCGCACTTTCATGTTTGGAGGGATGGTGGTTGCCTTTTTGATCCTCCTTTACTGGACGAGTCGGACTGGAATGAGATCTTGACAAATCACTGAGTCTCCCCACCATTTTTTCCATGCTCCCAACCAGCAGAAAAGAGAACGATCCATGTCCAAGATTAGCTTCCACACCGTTGACAACTATCTGATGGTGACATGTGTATATAAGTCTTGGACCCTCCCAAGATCGAGCAATACAGAGTAACAGAGTCAAGGTAGTTACTTGTAGTAGCCAGCACGCGGCTAAAGAATGGTCATCTTCAAAGCCTTCTTTGCACGTCACGAAGAGCTGTGGGGGAGTCGTTTTTTCTGCTTTGCCTCTGAAGATGTTGGGTGTTCGCCAATCTGGACCTCGTGGAACCTCCAAACCTCCCCCCTCCACGCCTTGAGAAGCAATTCTTGAGACTGCAAGAGGAGCTTCACCCGCTGTGTCACATCACGCTCAGAGCTCGCCAACTGGATCGGACCACGCGGACGCGCCGTGGACGGCGGTGTGTGGGTCCGGTGGGAATGGACACGTCCCCGGGTCCCGTGGGAGTCTCCGTGTGGATCAGCCGTCCGCGACAGGTCTCTCGGACTGGACCCGCCTGGAGGAGCTGCACGACCTGGAGGAGCTGCACTCCGATATGTGAAACGTGGTGGAAGGACTCATGAATGTCAGTCACGGTCGACGTCACATGTCGACGAACATCTGATGTTCTGGCCCAAGTCCTCACATTCATGACTGCTCTTGATGTTTGTCATCAGGCGCCAACATAGACTGCCTATGAAGCCCTGTCTCGAACCGTCTTAGGTGTCCATGAAATGATTGAAACCTGCAGGGCGCTGTCCCAAAAGGGGCACAAAGATTTTACCGTAAGGTCTTGCAAACAGCCACAACCAACCAACCAACCAACCAACCAAGCAAGCAAGCAAGCAAGCAAGCAAGCAAGCAACCAAGCAACCAAGCAACCAACCAACCCACCAACCCACCAACCCACCAACCCACCAACCCACCAACCAACCCACCAACCCACCAACCCACCAACCAACCCACCAACCCACACACCAACCAACCCACACACCAACCAACCCACACAACCAACCAACCCACACAACCAACCAACCCACACAACCAACCAACCCACACAACCAACCAACCCA